ATCTCTACAGATTCTCCTCCCTCCCTCCCTCCCTCCCTCTCCCTCCCACCCCTGTCTCTCTCTCCCTTAAATCAAACCTGCCTTTTTAAGGATTAAAATCTTTTCCGAAAATATTCGGGGCTCTCAAACATTTGTTATCAGCAACACCAAATTCCCCTCTCCAAACTCGGGTTGGAAATTTTAGGTCAAGAGTATAATCCTGATAGTATCTGACTGTGCCACAAAGGTTAAAAATGACTGAGTGGGCTCTGCCTTCCTGGGGTTCTACTAAAAGAAAAGGGAAAGGGCATGCTAATGTGAGTTAAACTATGAAAATTTTCATTACAAGAACAACAACATATCAAGGGGGGGACATGTTTTGTAGTGATAGTTTTTTTTTTAATTTTATCTTAAGATTTAGCAGTAAATTAAGATAAAGGAAGACAAACCCAACCACAACAGTGTTGAAAACTGACCACTAGCTCTCTATGAACAGAGGCAGGGAGATCTCTGTGAGGTGGGAATCAGGCAGGGTATAAAAAGAAACCCTGTCTCAAAAACAAAAGGAAGGGGACATAGGGAGAGGAGGGGAGGGGAGGGGAGGGGAGGAGGAGGGAAGGGAAGGGAAGGGGAAGGGGAGGGGGGGAGGGGGAGGGGAGGGGAGGGGAGGGGAGGGGAGGGGAGGAGAGGAGAGGAGAGGAGAGGAGAGGAGAGGAGAGGAGAGGAGAGGAGAGGAGAGGAGAGAGAGAGAGGAGAGGAGAGGAGAGGAGAGGAAAGGAAAGGAAAGGAAAGGAAAGGAAAGGAAAGGAAAGGAGGGGTCGAGGGGTGTGATGACTAAACATGAAATTCCCAGGCTAACTCCCTTTGTATTCTTTTTTTATTGATATTAATCTTGGGGGGCTGGCACACAAAGCAACAGGTTTCATCCTGGCATCCTCACAAATGTTATTACAGTTTGTTCTCATCCATTCTCTCCTCCTTACTCACTCTTAAAGGATGTACCATGAGACAGGAAGTAAGGAGAGAACAGGAAAACAGGGTGAGTCTGGAAAGGTTAGAGGGTGAAGTGGGGGTGAGTATATTTAAAACACACTGAATGAGAGTCTCAAAAATACTACAGTGTGTCACATATGGTCACTAGGGGAAATGATTAGGCTATAAAACCCATCCCATTTCCCATCACAAAATGAAAATGGCCTCTCACATGCAAACATGGTAGTACAATCCAGCCTTAGGTGATCCACTCCAGACCTACAAAGATGACTCTGACTCACTAAAGAGAAACTGAGGCAGTGACTCAATGACTGGAATTACTCCAAGGCTCTGGGACAAACATGGTACCAGGTAACAACAAGAAAAGGAGGTAACTCAAAGTTAACTATATCACATGTTTGCATTCTCTCGCTGATATACACTTCACATTACTTACAGTTTATGAAATCATCTGGGTCCTTCTATAGTGAACCACAATATTTAATAAGGAACAAATATAAGCCAGGTTACCTGGAGTACACCTTTAAGTCCAGCACTCAGGACACTGACTTTGAGGGCAGCCTGGTCTACATAGTGAGCCTCAGGCTAGCCAGAGCTACATAGTAAGACTCTGTCTTGGAAAAAAAAAAATAGACAAGAACAGATAAAAACCAAATTTGGTAAGTAAAATATAAAACTAGTGTTCAAAGATCAGAAACAACTTTGTACATATCAGCTATGAATGTCATTTTTTACTTAAAAGTTTGGAAACCAAACCATCTTTAAATCTAAAAGACTACATTTTCTTATGTAACACAAATACATCGATTTTAATGTGTTATTTCTAAAATACAAAATTAGCCTAGATTGAATGAAGAAAATAGTGTACATAACACAGTGGAATTCCATTCAGCCATCAAGAACAAAATGTATCTCAGCAGGAAAACAGATAGATAGCAATAGGAAACTATCATGTTAACTGAAATAAACCAGATCATGAAAGACAAGTATCATGTTTTCTCTCATATGTGAAATCTAGATTAATATATATATATATGTATATGTATATATATATATATATATATAGTGTGTGTGTATATATACATATATATTACATATATGTGACATGAAAGTTGAAAGGGCCTATGGTAGGGAAAACATGAGAAGACAGTAAGTCAGAAGATAAAATGAAGAAAAGTACAATGATAAACATGCATGAAACTGTCATAATGAAACCTATTATTTTATCTGCTGACATTTGAAAATGAGGTTGGTATGGACAACCTAAGTTCTTACTATTATATCTACTTCATTTTCCAGTTATTCACCATGAACAAATTTTCAAACACATCCCTGTCAGATACCAGTTTCTAAAAGATACTGTTTTTAGTCTACATATTGTATTTAGTAAATTACATAAAAAAAAGAATGCCAAGCATGGTGGCACGAGACTTTAACACCAGCACTCAGGAGGCAGAAGCAGGCGGATCTCTGAGTTTGAGGTCAGCCTGGTCTACAAATCAAGTTACAGGACAGCCAGAACTACAGAGAAATTCTGTCCGGGGGCTGGGTGGGGGGGCCTTATAAGAATGAAACTAAGAAGTTTCATACACATATGGTTTCCTTATATCTGTTAACCCCAGGGGGTTTTATTGTAATTATTTGAATCCATATTCAAAAATTATTCTGTATTTCCTCGTGGGCACAATGTTACCAACAGCATTTAAAAATCCTACCAAAACCAGCTTAGCTCCCAACTTATGTGTGGATGTTTCAGTTCATGTTTTAGACATCCTGTATTCCAAAAACTCAGCTGATTTTAGAAGATCATTCACTTCAGGAAATTCTCGTTGACTCACTGAGCTCATTGCCAACACCTCAAAACTTGGCTCCAGCTCTCTAGCCTCTCCCTCCTCCAGTTTATCCTCCATTATACTGTCAATGTTCTAACTGAAATCTTCAATTCCCAAACCAATCTGCAGGGTAAATGTGACTCCTTAGCTGGCCACACAAGGTCGCACACTTGGTGTCAGCCCCCCTTCACCTCCCCCTTCAATGTTTCACTTTCATTGGTGCTATCCAACCACACATTAACACTTCCACTGTCTCCTAACAAGCTTTTTTCTTTCACACTCAATTACTCTTAAGAAGGGGGAGAGGGAGAGAGACCTTCCTAAGTTTATAATGGATCTACCCCTCTAATTTGAAATTTTCTTTTTTACCCATTTAGTTCAGTTCAAAACATCACTATCTGAAAAAAAAAAAAACTTACACATCTCTCATATACCTTAGTACATATGGCCATCCTATGACCGTCTAAAAGCATCAGGGATGGCATTTACCCGGAGTCTGATAAATGCTGAACAGATTTTGAAGGTGGATACTCATGCCTAAGGGAGCAGCCAGCCCATTGCAGACCCAATTGAAGAACATAAGGATATCCCATGCATTCTTACGCACATGTGTAATAATAAGCATACACACGAGCTGGAAGTATAGTCTGGTTTATATTGACAAACACACGACGTTACAGATTACTAGAACTCCGGATCCTTTCCTATGAACAGTGTTAACCATCTAGAACAGCAGAAGGTGGTCCTCACCCGAACCGATCTGGCAGCATCCTATTCAAATTTTTTTCAGTATTTTGAACAACATCTCCACACAGCAGAAACCTAACTTAATTTAAAAGAAGCAAGCCAAAGAGAAGAAACAATGTAATTAGTTTCGTGAAGGTCAGCGCTCCTGCACTCAAATCTTCACTCAGCACCTTTGAAGGCAAGAAGCCTTCCATTGTCCATAGTATTCCCGGCGCTAGTAGAGACAACTCAGTCATGCAATAATTTAATACAAAAGATAAAAATAAATAACATTTCCAGAAAGGAACGAGTGTGTTAATGGTGTGCTTCCACCCCGGTTTCATCTTCAATATTTACGGTAAATTTCACAATTCAAACGTATTGGCCGGCAGTAATTTCTTTCCGATAATCCCCTGGGTTAAACAGACCAGAGATTCTTTGTCCGGATTCAGAAAGACTGAACAACAGGCTCTGGAAATGTAGCTATTCGTCCATTCTTTTCTTTTTAAAGTATTCTTACTACAACAAAAAACGGCCCAAGGAAAACCCGCCTTCACCATCAGAATCTCTGCAGACCTACTGGTTGAGTCCGCTAAGACCACGACCGTCAAATCTCAAATTCTGACAGACTGAAGCAAAAGTTCCAGCTCCCAGACCAGGGCCAGTGACAGCCACGCCACCCGCGAGCGCCGGCTGCAGCCCGGGAGCGGCGATCGCACGGCCAGGGTGCAGCCGGCCGCCGGACTCCGGGTCAGCGCTGTCAGGGGCGCCGGGAGCCTGGGGTCCACTTCGCAGCTCGCACCACAGGACACTCGGGGAGCGCCCAGCCCGGGACGCGGGGCTCCCGGGACACCGTCCCCCCGACACCCACCTGGCCGCCCGGCACCGAGGACCGGGCCCAGCAGGCCACAGGCCAGCAGCCACCTCAGTGGCAGAGAGGCAGGGGGCGAGAACGCGTGCGGCCCCATAGCGAGGGCTTCTGCAGGTTCGGCTCAACGCGCGGCCGCCGCCTCCGCCCCTTCGGTCATCCTCGCAACCTCGCGGGGTCCCCCGGGGACTGGCGGGGCGCGCGCCCACGGCGAGCACGCGCGCGGCACTGACGCAAACCCCCCCTCCGACCCCGCCCCCACCACGCTCTCTCTGGACGTAGGGAAAATAAAGTCTGCGGAGAGACGGTGGCCTACTCCACGCCAGGCTCCAGATCGCGCCTGTCCGTCCCGCCCGCCCGCGCGGCTGGTACGGGAGAGCGTAGGAGGGGCTGGAGGCGGGGTTAGTGGAAGGCCCGCCCCCTACTACGAGGAGCGATGGGTCTGCTGGAAGGCGGGGTTAAGAGAATCCCACCCCGCTCCACGCCGCAAAGAGCGGAGGGTCTACTGAGGGGCGGGATTGATAGAAGCACCGCCCCACCTCCCTCCTCTAGCCGCTTTTGATTGGTCTCAGCGGCGGGGCGGGGCGTCGAGCTGCGCACCGGTTGGCTGTGTGGCGGCGAGCTGCGTGCCGACGCAGAGAGACCTGACAGCGCCGAGCTCATGTCCGCCGTGGCGGCCTGGCTTTGTTTTTAGGCCAGGTCTCCGGGACCGGCCCGGGAAGATGGTGCTGGGGGGCTGCCCTGTGAGTTATCTACTGCTGTGCGGCCAGGCGGCCTTGCTGCTAGGGAACCTGCTGCTGCTGCACTGCGTCTCTAGGAGCCACTCGTTTAATGCCACGGCCGAACTGGATCTCACACCCTCAGGCGCCGCTCACCCCGAGAGTCCCGTAGCCCCGAGCTGGGAATACAGCGACCCCCACTCTCCGATCATCCTTTGCTCTTACCTGTAAGCTTACGGGGTCGTGGGTGCAGTCCTATTGGGGATCGGGCCCGGCTAGGTGGTGGTTGTGGGGAGGTCAGGGGAGGGAAGGCTGCTTCCACCTGGGATAGGTGCCTGCCTCTCAACCGCCCTGCCGCGGAAAGCTTCGTGTGTTAGTCGTAGATATTGGGAAGGAGTGGTGGAGACTGTAGAACCCTTCCACTCCCTGCACCCTTTCTCCTGCCTTGATTACAGGATGAGTTCAAAGCCAACCAGCAAGCCCGGGTAATTTGTCTCAGAAAAGAAGGGAGGGAGGGAGGAAGAAAAGAAGAAAGGAAGGAAGGAAGGAAGGAAGCAGGAGGATGATTTTAAAGGGCTGGAGATGTCGCTCAATGGTAGATAGCATCCCTAGCGTGTACAGTCCCTAGTACAGGAAAACAGGAGGGTGGAAGGAAGGAAAATGGGTAAATGTGTGACGTGCGATCACATAGCAGTTGGTAAAGCAGGCTGATGATGGTCTTACTGATTTGCAGACCTGATGAGTTTGTAGATTGCGATGCCCCAGTGGATTTCGTTGGAAATGAAACCGCGACCAAGGAACTTGGTTATGGTTGTTTCAAGGTGAGGTTTTTGTTTGCTGTGCATTAGCTCTTCATGGGAAGTCATGGCTGAGTGCTGTTATGGAAGAGCTTAAAGGCATACAAAGAGACTTTTTTTTTTTTTTTTTTTAAGAACCGATTGTTACTATTGCTGGAAAGTTCCAGCATGACCAGGGTTTTAGTGGCTGAATAGCCATTTGCATTCCTTATGAACCAGCAATGTCTGTGCCCAAGGCGCCCAAGTGCAAAGGTCAACCTGTATTGGTTCCTTTCGATACTGAAATTAACAAATTGAAGCTAAATTGTCACCTGTCCTTTCAAAGCATGTTCTCTTAAAAGAACAACGAAAAAGGACATGCAATTTGGAAAGCTGATGTTGAACCGGGTTTTCTTGGCTACACATGCACTTGGAGCAAGTTCCTCATGCTGATGGTGACAAGCAGGTTGCACCCTGCCCTTAGGAAGTAACTTGGTTCTGTCAGTTATGTTTTTGTTTGAGGATAAAGCATTCCAGAGAAGCCTGGAAAGGAGTCATTAGTATCCTTAAAGTGAGTGTACCTACTTGGTCTCTCAAAACCCATTGAATTTTGCTTTGTTCTGTCTTTGTTTTGTTTTTGAGAAAAGGTCTCACTCTCTAGCCCAAGTTAAGCTTACACTCATAATTCCACCACTTGAGCTTCCAAGTGCTAGGTCACAGTTATGCATCATTGTACGAAACTCATATTTAGGAAATGCATGTACCACCTTTGTGCTACAGATTCACCACTGTTATAATGCAGGGTTCAACCTGGTGTTGAGTTGTGAGAAAACATGTTTTACTGCCTCAAACACAAAGGAATAAACCTAATACCACAACCAAGGGGACAGCTCTTAATTGAACTATATGTATACAAATATTTTAACTACATTGAAATTTCAATTTATTGGTAGTTGGTAAAAGCTTGACTAATATTGCATAGTGACAACTTAATTTTGTTTGTTTTAATTAAAAGCCGAATTTATCCTGTCACAAGAGTCAGACTGCCCCTCAGCCAGCAGCCCTTAAGGACTGGCAAGACTCAGGAGTGTGAGAAGTGAGCATCCTTGTACCAGTCTCTCTTTGAGGAACATAGGGTAATGATAGGAAATCAATAATAAGGTACAAGGAAAACTTTGTGGCTGTTTTCTCTGTCAGAATTGAATTAAGCAAAGGGTAATACCCCGGTTCCGACCATTTTTGCTGGAACTTATACTAGGGGTAGACTCCAGGAATCTATAACCATGTGTGACCTAAGTGAAGTCTTCAACCAGATGATAGTCTGAATTATTTTCTAATTTTGTTCACTTAGTAAATCTACAACAGATACCTTGAGAGGTATTGACATCTCAATTCCCATTCCAAAATTGCTACACTGTGTGCCTATAAATATAAGATAACCAAAGCACTGTGTACATCTCTGCACTTAGGTTTTGTTTTTGTTTGTTTGTTTTGAAGAAGCCAGCCATGAAGGAGAAAGGTTTATTTAAAGCAGTGTGCACTTAGAATGGGCTACTAAGTCACCTGAAGTCATCCCTGCAGTCCATGCTTTTGAGAACTTTACCCAGTCTTGATAGAATTATTACAGTACTGAAGCAGCTTTTATTAGTAAATGTGGATGTGTGTGTGACTTCCTCCACAGTTTGGAGGTCAGGCCTACAGTGATGTGCAACACACTTCGGTCCAGTGCAGAGCCCTGGATGGAATTGAGTGCGCCAGTCCCCGGACCTTTCTACGAGAGAATAAGCCTTGTATAAAGTAAGTTTGACTTTTGTTGTTGTACTGAATGTGTGGTACTAGGATCTGAACCCAGGACACCTGCTAAGCAAGTGTCCTGCTAATGAGCTGCACCCCTAGCCCAAACTAAGTGTCTTGGGTGCTTGGGTGGAGGTGCCAGCTGGTGTGACCTTTTCTTAGAAGTGTTAATGCATGTGCTTCCTTCTGTGTGGGGCCCACCAATGGAAGCAGTGTGATTGCGACAACTAGGAGCAGAAGTTGTGGCTTCTGAAACTTTCAGTCTACCCCCATCCTCAGCTTGCAAGCCCCGGGCCAAGCACTGTAGCTTCAGAACTCCTGACCCTGGGAAATCTTCATTAGGACTTCTGGAACAAGGTTTTGCAAAGAAATCACCTGATCTGAAAGAAATGTGGTATAGATTCTGCCAACAGATACAGACTTGACTTAGACTGTTACCACCTGAGAGAAGCCTTGGTGATGAGTAGTGATGTCAGCACTGAGGCATTTTCATGCACATAAAAGGTGCAGGATAATGAGGCTCTCGTTTAAGGGAAGGATGTTTCCCTTGAAAAAGAACTCAGGGAGCAGCAGAGCCCCTGGTCCCTAGACTCCTCTGCTACCACAGTCTGTTATGCAGTTGTCCAGTCCAACTTAGCAACATCTGTTTAATTTTGTGTGTAGGTTTGCCTTTGTCCTGCGACAGCCAACAGAGGGCATCTGATCCAAGTGGTCATGAGCAGCCTGGTGTCACTGATAGGACTCAAACCTGGCTCCTCTTTGAGAGAGCAGCAAGTTTTCTTACCACTGAGCCACCTCTCTGGGACCCCTTTTTGTTCTTGAAGTGTCTACCTATCTTAGCAAGTACTTTTTTAAGACCTAGAGCTAGGGATAGGGAGGTGCTTACAAGAATCTATTACACTGTAGTTAACCTTTTTTTTTTTTTTTTTTTTTTTTTTTTTTAATGTCTCTGGGTAAGACTACCCATTCCAAGATTAGAAAATTCATGGTGTTAGCCAAGGCTGTAGTCAGCATGTCCTTAATATGCAAATGTGTCCTGAGCCATCTAATGGTAGAGCTCCCCAGGAGACTACTCCTATGCCGTAATCATCCCAGGGTCATGTGTCAGGCCGATAAGGCCCACACTGAATATAGCTTCAAGCTGCTGAGATGATTCAAGTAGCCAATCCTAAATTGCTGATGTGTCCTGCCTTGGCTTTTCCACAAAACCCCCAGCAATGGTAGCAACCTGGACCTACCCCTTACTCTTATCTCTTGACCATGTGGTCTCCTTCCCACGTGGCCCAGCAGGATGACAGCCCTGCCTCCTCACTAGGACCCATGTAGGTAATAAGCTATCTCTTTGGCTCCCACTTCCCCAGGCTCTTTTGTTTCTCTCCCAGTAGCCACACCTGACTGAATGTATCAGGAACGAGCCCAGGCAGGGTGAGAGGTCTCTGCACCAGAGCCAGCTGCACTCTCATGATGGTCCAGTCGATTTTAATGAGGCAAACATCTCCTTCCCTCCATCCAGGTACACTGGACACTACTTCATAACCACGTTGCTCTACTCCTTCTTCCTGGGATGTTTCGGCGTTGACCGTTTCTGTTTGGGACACACTGGAACAGCCGTTGGGAAGCTGCTGACACTGGGGGGACTTGGGATCTGGTGGTTTGTTGACCTAATTTTGCTCATCACTGGAGGGCTGATGCCCAGTGACGGCAGCAACTGGTGCACTGTCTACTAAAAGCTGCCACTGTCCCATGCCAGCAAGGATAAAAAAGTGTTCGGCTGCCTGGCTAATTACTACAAGCTCCAAATTCTTCTCCAAACATCGCTTTCCCCTTTAGAAGTTCGGACTGAACTTTGCAACCCAAACCTTACCTTGCAGACCAGAAATGACAAGCAGTGTTGTGGGGGTCCAGTCATACCTTTCTTCATGTGTAAAATAGCAAAGATAGTGACTTTTTCTGAGTTCTGTTTCTCTGTGACTGGATCTTGAGTCATCCGGAGCAGGGGGTCCCAACAGGACCAAGCAAGTGTTTACTTGTACACAGCCTTTCGTGACCCAGAATTTCCAAGCACAGGTCATAAACTGTGCCAATGAAAAATCTCCAGGTGACATAGAAATGACCATGGATCTTAATTACACACCAAAATTCTGACTCTGTGAAGTTAAATTACAGAATAAAATTTTAAGACCTAGCCCGCTGTGGATTTTCAATAGAGAACGAAAGTCAAGGATTGTTTTTGCTGGAGGGTGAGCATTTAAAGTGAAAGTTATGGTCTTAATATGCAGGGCCCTCCTGCAGCCTGCCTCTGTTAAGTCATCTGTTCACACTCCATCCTAACGGTGCAAAGTCTAATACAACTGCCCTACTAAGCCTGGCTGTGTACTGCTGGAATATTCTACAGACAGTAACTTCTTCATTCTATTTATGTTTTGAAACCCAACAGTGGCGGACATGTATGACTTCACAGAGTTGTCCTATCTAAAATTAGTATTTTCCAACTTGAATCGTCATTTAAGATATGGGCCCCATATATCAGGGCTGAGGTAAAAAGACTGTATAGGCTTTATTTGCAGCACTTGGGAGGCAGAGGCAGGTAGATCTCTTGTGAGGGCTACCTGGTCTACATAGTGAAACCATGTCTATTACATAAGTAACTGTAACACTTTCTGCATAATTAGTGGGGGGGGTGGAATCAGGATGTGTTAGGGGAGAGAGGGTGAAACGAATTTTGTCCCTACAAGTGTGACAGTAAAAGCTTTCCTATGTGCCACAGTGTTAGAACCAACCAAGCTTCTGCATTCCCTAGTCCCCAGGAAGAAAGGAAATGTTCTGAATGGTAAGTGGCTTTCAAATCTAAGTTGAAAAGAACTGTTAAATCTAACTGGCAGGTCAGACCAAGAGCCTTTCAACTAACTAGCCATGGATTCTAGAAACTGGGTAGAAATATGCCACATTCATTCCCTTAATGATGACATAAAGGCCAATAGAGTTCAGGTAAATTAGCCCTGGAAACACAGGATCATTGTAGAACTCGGGAGGCAGGGGCAGGTGGGTCTCTGTAAGTTCGAGGCCAACATGATCTTGCAGAGTGAGTTCCAGGCCAGCCAGGAAAACACACAGAGGAATCCTGTTTCAAAAAAAGCAAAAAAGTTTCTGCCTCAGGATCCTTGATTAATATCACTGTCCCCATATTACTAAAGACAGCAACTGTGAAAACTTTTAAAAACCACAACAACCTTAATCATGTAACAGTAACAACTAGAAAAGTCAACTGATAATTTCTACACACTAAGGCTATATTTTTAGATTAATCCTGAAGAAACTAGACCTCCTTAAAAATATACAAATCAAGCTTCATGTAGACTTTAAAGAGATACAGGGGTGCCATATTTAAAAAAATATTCTGGAATGCTTGATGATAAGCCCTTATCTAATGTGCACTGGTCCCAGGTTTGATCCCCAGCAACCCTCCCAAATCTATAAGACAGTAACTAAGAATCCTACCCAAAATAAACTGTTTAAGCCATGAGTCAGCCCTACCTAAGTAAAATCTGAGTGTAAGCTTCACTTAAAAAAAAAAAAAAAAAAAAAAAAAAAAAAAAAAGGATCTACGTGCAAGTCTATAAGTGGTTCAAAAGCTATTTTAATGGAAGATGCTGTTCTCAGAAACACTGGAGGACCAAAACTGTTTCTAAAATTGAGAATAATATTCCCATGTTATAATATGACGTCATCAGTTTCAATCTGTCTTGTAATTGATGACTTTCCTACCCACAATCCCTGACCAAAAGTGTGATATAACCTGGGAAACTCAGTATACAGAGGAGGATTATTTAAAATGTGATTGCCTTATTACTCCAGATTCGGGCTCTTAATATTTTGTACATATGTGTGGCATATCAGTGTGTGGCTATATAGGAGGTTACTAAGGTAACCTGTCAAGAGTCAGTTGGGAATTGCCTGCTTTCCAGTTGCTCCTGTCTTTAAATTTTATCAAGCCACATGGCTGCTTCCACTTGGCTTAGAAAGGTTTTGTTTGGGATTTTTTTTGCTTTGTTTTGCAGCAGAGGAGCATCCTCAACCTCAGGATCCATGAGTGAGAGAGAGAGTACAAACTTGATCATGCATTCAAAGTATCCATTTTTCTTAATGTCCTAAAGCCATCTTTGCCACTTCTTTGATACAAACAGGTAACATATAACTGCTTTTGCTAGTCAGTTTTCCAAAGTAAAATACTTAATTGATTATCTCAGGTGTGACTGTCAGAAACAAGGTTTGACTTCCTCGAAGCACAGTGATGGAAAGAAAATCATTGTCCTTAACAGCTTCAATGACATCAGTTGTGGTGGTGACGGGTTGCCCGTTTATGCTGACAATTACATCATGATCTCTCAACCCAGAGCTGAGAAAGAAAAAGAAAAAAAAAATGGTGAAGCTGGGTGGTGGTGGTGCACACCTATAATCCCAGCACTGGGGAGGCTGAGGCAGGTAGAGTTCTGTGAGTTCAAGGCCAGCCTGATCTACAGAGTGAGTTCCAGGACAGCCAGGGTTATGCAGAGAAACCCTGTCTTGAAAAACAAAAATAAAGAAGATTGATGAAAACATAAGAGTTCTACTCATTTCCATTTATGGTGTGTTGTCTGTCTGTCTGATTCTCCACCCACACACACACATACACACACTGCCTACTATTTTGCTGACCATTAGACATATAAACCAAGAAAGCAGGACTAGCCTGAGACCCTCTGACTGTGAGGCTGTGGGAAGATGCATGCTGAAGCCAGCTGGAGGACAGTGACCCTGTTTTCCTATAAAATGACTACCCTGTGACAATTCAGGAAGAAGCTGTGTCCTCACATGCATTGATTTCACTTGGAATGGACAAATTAGCTTCTAATTTCTCATCATCTCTGCCCTGTGTTAACTTCAAACATTACTAAATTCACAAGCAAGAGTGCCAAGCCCAGACTGTTTTTGGCCCCAGGAAGTTGAGCTCTGATGAGTCTGACTGGTCAGCCCATCCCATGGTTTCTGGAACTGGAGCATAGTGAGCTGCTGTGTGTCCCAGATGTTCTGTTTCCCATAAATCAAACATCACTCCAGCTTCCAAGCCCAGATGTTTACAGCTCTGATTCAAGGCTGTTGTCCTATCCAGTCTTGACATTGGCCTAACATGGAATATATATCCCAGATACAAACGCCACTGCCAAAAGCAAAGGGCAATAAACACGGACAGGCTGGTTGGTTATGTTTGATAAAGGTTAGAATGAGCTAAAAGGGACAAAAATTAAATGACTTCAGAAGATGCTATTTAAGGAAAATGTGAAGTTAAGAAAAAATGGCAATGTGAGCACATTATCAAGATATGTGGAGTTTGAAAAGTGGGAGGAGCAGGGATATAGCTGAGTAGTATAGGGTATGTTCAGCATATACTTGGTCCTTAGTTCATTGGCCAGTATCAAGGGTGGGGGTGGAAAGGTCATGCAGTGGGCCATGGAGAGAAGGGGGGAGACAGCTACATGCAAGAAATCCTCAGGAACGGGACAGAGGATGACATGGAGTCTGCTAAGAAGGAAGCTGGCTCAGCAGTCATGAGCAGGGAAACAGCAAGAGAGAACCAGCCCTGTGGCGTGGAGCCTACTGTGCACTGAGTATGGGGCAGCTGGGCTCACACAGGATAAGTGGCCTTTTCCCAGATCTCTTTGTCTTTCAAGAGATTGAAGCGGGATTTGATCCTGTGTCTGTCAGACTTGAAACTCCATCTTCTTGCCAGTAAGTCAACTCTGCCTCTTAGAAAGAAAGGTAACTACAAATACAGGATCATAGAGGGATTAAGCCAGACTGCACATCTCCTCCCTAACCCCTATGTAACTCAACACAGCTGCTTCCCCTTAAAAACAAGGACTATGTCATAAGACTCCTCAAACAACTGTGTAAAAAAAAAAAAAAAAAAAAAAAAAAAAAAAGATACTGTGGTTCCTCAGATATAATCAATGTTTCCTAAGTGCCAGTTGCTATTTGTAATTATTAGTAGTTATTAAATATAAGCAGGTAGAAGTCAGCAAGGATTGATGTTGAGCTGTCAAAGACTTACAACAGTAATTCTCACTTTGACAGGCATGTAACTACCCACCTGCGAATCTTGTTAGAGACAAAGACTCTCCCAGGGATACAATCTAGTAGTAGAACAGGTATGTAGCACACACAAGGCCCTGGGTATGAACTCCAGGAAGCAAGTAATAATAGAGTTAAGGGAGTTTGGAGAGAGGAAGGATAGAAAGAGGTGGGGAAGAAGAGAGATACTCAAGAGAGAGAAAAGTTTATCTGGCACAGTGCACACAACTAAACCCAGCACTTGGGAAGTTAGGACAGGAAAACCCAGAGTTCTAGACTAGCACAGAGACAAAGGGGTGGGGAGGTCAGATTCAGTGATGGGACTCGGGCTGATGCCGCCACTGCTAGCACAGCATACTTTGAGAACCTTGCAGAGCTGAGAGTAGCTCTCTGGCCTTGGACCAGAAGTTAAAATAAGGACTTAGGGGAGGGGCACCGCAGAGCAGGGACCTGGAGAGAGTCAAGAAAAGCTTAGGACATGCCAAATCTAGCAGCATAAACCCTGACACTTGGGCATGCTTAATAACTGCTGGTACCTATGAGTTCTTCCAGGTCTAACAGCTGCCAACATCCAAGCAGATTGCTGAGCCTTTGAAAAACAAACAGGTAACAGTACAGAAGTGAGGGCAGAGCCCAGGAGAGCAACATTTGTGGAAGAAGCCTCCTCTCCCCGATACTAAATATGCTAAAGGAAAGCTGGAAACAGCATCTGAACCTTCCATTGGGGCTATTCTAGAAGCACAGGTGTCAGCTCCAGCTGTTTGCACTGCAATCCAGACCTCACAGAAAGGGTGTTAGCAAAGGCCTATGGGACACTAAGACTTAGAGCACCCTGAACCCTTCCTATTCTTTTTTCCTTCTCTCTTTTTTCATCCCCCACTCCCACTGGTCAGGAGTCCCACAAGAACACCCAGTTACACAACTGTAACTTACATGCAGAGGACCCAGCTCAGACCCCTGCAGGATCCAGGATTGTCACTCCAGTCTCTGTGAGCCCCTATGAGCCCTGCTTAGTTGATTAATCCTTCCCGTTCTCATGAACTAATAATTACTGAACTGTTCAAATCATTTGTTTCTCATTAGTTAATGGTTATTAATAGCTGAATAACTGGGACATTGTGGCCCATGCCTATAATCCTAGCATTCAGGAGGCAGAAGCAAAAGAAATATAGATTTCAGGCTAGCATGGACTACACAGTGAGGCCACATCTCAAAAATTCAAAGAGGTGGGAGACACTCAGAGGGTAAAGTGCTTGCCATACATGCATGAGGACAGTTTGGATCCCCAGCACAACTGGACACAGTGGTACATGCCTGAGATCCCAGCACTGGGGAGACAAAGACAAGTGGATCCCTAGAACTCTGGGGACAACCAGGATCACGAAATTAGTGAGCTCCAGGTTCAAAACACTGGGTGGAAGTGACTGAAGAAAATACTCTGCATCTACATCTGCCTACTACACATGCACAGACATATGTACACACACACATTAAAACATACACCGAATTCTACAATTAATATATAAATCACTAATAATATATGAAACTTAGTTAAGTAATAACTAATAATATTGAAAGAATATGTTTAGGGGCTGGTGTATAAGTTAGCTTACTTGGAAAAAAGGAGAGGGGTTCAACTTGGTAATTCCTAGCAAAATTACTTTTAACCTAGGCTATGAACCTGAGCCCCTATCAGCACTGTTCAATATAAATGTAATACAAACTACATATACCACTCTAAATTCTAGAGTAGTCACCTTTTAAAAAAAATCAGATAAAGTTGCCTTTAATGGTACATCTTATTTAATGCCACAAATCTAAAATTTTGTCATTTTAACACAGAATAAAAATTTTGAAATTTTGATAAATATTTTACAATTGCCTATAAGCCATTGAAATCCACATAACATAGTACACACCCAGTCTGCCATTATGCTGATAGCTCGTCCAGTGCAACAAACACCACAAAATGTAGTCCTTCTGAAAACGAATAGGGAAACGATCTGCCCCGTTTCTGGTGGTTCTGTTGTTTTCATCTACATCAATTTCAATCAAATGCAATTTTAAATTGCATCACTGAGCCATGTGACCAGCTTTCAGACGCTCAGTGTATAGTGTGTAGAGTCCATGACCATGATACCAAAGCAAGCTTGGTGTGGTGTGTGCCTAGAGACAAACAGGAGGCTGGGCAAAGGCCGCCCCACTTACCTTGCAGCAGCCGTTCCTTGAATCACTTCATATACAAAAACTCCAGAACTCACATCAGGGAAATCTGGATCTTGCCTCTTCATCTCTTGAAGGAGGCTGGGAACAGTATGAAGGTTAGCGAACACACCATCCCCTGAGGAAAGGCTTGCCCACTCAGGAGGCATCTCTTCAGCTGGAGACTGGAAGGCACCCAGGCAAATCCCACCCAGCCAATCACAAACCACCCCTGCTATGTGCTGTCTCCTCGGCTAGGCCAAGGCTTTGTATCTCTGAATATGACATGTAACTCAACTATAATGAAAGACACTGGTACTGCCAAAGGGAGATACAGCCCTGCAACAGAGCCTGTGGTCACAAGGATCTCCTTATTGCTGTCTAAACGCTTTTCTTTTCTTGGTAAAACTGCCAAGTGATGGCTTGTTACCATAGTTACTTGGTGCTTACTTCAGAGTGAGGGGCAACATTCGAAGACCCAGGTATTTCTTCTGTGAAGGGGCCTTTCCTGGAAGGGAAAGTCATGATATATGATTCACAGCATGACTTACTTTCATTTGGCACAGCTTAAGAGACACCTAAATCCCAGAATTTCTTGCTATAACATCTGGCCTTGTATACTATCTGCTTCAGAGAACATCTGTGGCTAACACAGATGCATCTCCAGTCAGCCGGTTCACTTCTAAACTGTACAACACAAGTATTTCTGTGGATGTCTCATATTTAGCTTTATGCTTAGTGCCCCAATAAGGTTACTCAACACCTGGATCTGAGAGCCCAGTACCTCAACACCATAAAGAAGTCAAGCTCCAAAATGTGGGAGTACACATGAAAAACAGAGAGGTTAAGTCCCCCCAACTTTCTTCACCTTTCAACTGGCGCTCATGATAGTCTGCCAGGAATTGTCTGATCCGATCCGAGGGAATTGCAAAGGAGATTCCTGCAGTCACCTTCAATGTGTTTATACCAATCACATCACCATCCTGGCAAGGAAGGAGAAACTCGACATTAAATCCCTATGTGATGCCCTGCAAACTGAACCATGAAACATCAGGACCAACAGAGAAGAATAAAACTAATCTTATAGGGCCAAAACAGGAGGATGAGAGAAAATCCACTTCTTCATTAGGGAGAAACAGATATCTTCCAGGGCAATTCGGGTGATAAGGAAGGAAGAGGTGCTTTACAGGTACAAGTTTTTTCACATTCAAAGAGTCAAGGCTATGCCGAGCGTTGGCCACGCATGCCTTTGATCCCAGTACTGGGAAGGCAGAAGAAGGCGGTTCTCTGTGAGTTCAAGGCCAACCTGGTCTATGGAGTGAGTTCCAGGACAGCATAACCCTGGCAGAGGTCTGAGTTCAGTCTCCTGGGCTTTTGGTAACTATCCAATGACAACAGAAGACGCATAAAAGAGGAAAACTGTAAAGGAAGCTGCAGCCAGGGCCCTGGCGCTCTTGGAGAGGTGAGAGCACACACCAGCAGGATAAATCCATCACAGGCTCTAAAATTTTCCCTAGTCTCCCATAAGAATGGCACCCAAGTCTGCATCACAGATTTTAAAACACATTTAAAATTAAGAAATAGAAAGCAGCAAGGAAAATGGCCACTTACCAAGTTCACCAGCGGCCCCCCAGAATTCCCGTGCTAAAGACAAGTTGAAAAGGCCATCAGTTAGCAAATAAATACATATCTCCACATGTTTTATACATAGTTGCTCATGAGTTTTACCAGAACACCTGTGTCCCCAAGGCAGGCAAAATCATGTCCCTCACCCTCCCAATCAATCCTAAAGTGTGAGTACAGGGCCAAGCAAATGGACACAAAGGTGACCTCTGCAACAAGCCCCAAGTGTGAGTGCCAGTTGTATCAAACATTGGGCTCTAGCAACAGGGCATTCCAACCCGCCATTAGGGATGACCTCTAAGAATGCTCAAAGACCAAAGGCAAGAGAGATCATGCCAAAGTTTTCTTCTCACTCTATCCTAGCAACATCATCTGTGCTGAGAACAGACTCCCAGTGACTCACGTTAATGATGGCATCTGTCTGGATATAGTCTATGTCTGAGTCCTTCAGTCCTAGCTCTTTGCCGCCTCTCTGTGTGGTGCTGACAATCCCCGCAGTCACTGTGTCCTGCAGAGAAAATGGGCTGCCCAAAGCCACCACAAACTCTCCGGCCCGGAGATCAGATGATCTCCCCAGCAGCAACACAGGAAGGTCAGTCTGCACATGGGGGTGAGGAAAGATGGGAAAGAAGAACAGTCAACCAATACGGTTGATGTTGGCCTGGGCCAGCAACCCCACCCCACCCCACCCCCCACCGGGTCATGCCTTCCTTCTTTCTCAGATGCAGATCCCACCAAACTCTCCCTCTATTAAGATAACTGGCATCATCTCTAAGATCAAAACATGTAGTTCTAGCTGCTAGAGAGGTGGCTCAGAGGTTAAGTTTGTTTCCTAGTACTTATGTTGGGCAGTTGACAACCACCTCTAACTCCAGCTCCAACTATAACTTCCTCTTCTAGCTTCCATGGGTACCTTGATTCACTTGCACAATCACAAATATACATCAATAAAAATGAGATAAATTTTAAGATCGAAGTTACATAAAAATCACTATTAATAAATGATCGGTGAAATGTCTGGTGTTAGTTCACTTAACATCGTGCCACCTCAGACATTTATCATCAGAGTGGAGTCACAAGCAGGATAGAGATCACCCAGAATAGCACTCTTCAAACTGCACTGTGGACATAAAACCCCTAGTTGCTTATCAAAATGCAGATTTGGATAGACCTGGGTGGGTCTGGGTTCCAGGATTTCTAACAAGTGTCAGATGCAGACCACAGCTTGTACAGCAAGGACCTCAAAGTGTAACCAGCAAGTTTGATTGCAAATGATTTTCCCCCAAAGTTGCATTTGTTGGAGAAGGAATCATGGGAGGGGCCAAAAGGGGGTAGGGGTGCTACCAGACAATTAGTAGAGCTTGTTGGAGGTTGAAGGAAAAACATAAATGGGGAATGCAATCCCTTGGCCAGGTCTCCTTCCATAGGCTCACAGATTGGGCTCCCCATGACTGACTACCTGGCTTCGGACTTGGCCTCCTCATCCCTACTGTCTTGTCACAGTGACAGGTCAGAAAGTCTGGAGCCAGGCTGGGTGGGCCCTTGGACCTGACTAAGCTTACCAGGCCCTGTGGATGGGCCTGGAATCAAGCTAGGAGTTGGGCACACATCAGAGGTATACAAGATCTCCCTGTTCCCACCAGCATATGTGTTCTGTGCAGGGATGGCTACTGTAGACCTCAGGTTAGAGTAGGTCTATTGACCCACGTGGGCCTGAAGAGCTTGAGACCTGAGAGCCAGGCAGGAGCCAGAGTGGAAAGCAACTCAGAGGGATCTCCCCTGGGCCTTGTGCTGTCCACCCTGGTGCCTTGAAGGTCAAGAGGGTGAAGCTGAAACCAAACCCCCCAAAAGTCCCAGGACATGGAAGCTGTGCAGAAACTGAGACAGTCTGCCAAGCCAAGCTGCTGAAGCTGAGGTGGACAATGCTGGGGTACAGCCAGGCTGAGGTGGGGGCACCCTGAGCCTTCTCTTTAGAAAACTGTCCAGCCAGACATCTGCTGCTTTGAAACTCTGCAAACTCTGAAACTCAGTCTCAGAGTTTTGTGAGCTGCAGCCCCTGCTGCACGGTGGGCAGAGGAAACTGATAAAATGGGAGCCTCCGGGGAGAGGTGAAACAGAGACCGTGGTACAGGCCCACACAAGGAAGTCAATGCATTTCAAGAACAGAGTGAATGGAAACCAGGAGAGTTTGTCCCTGCAGTTAAAAAGTCTGCCCTGCAAGAGATCAGTTTCACTGACAAGCAACCTTGGCTGGAGGGGGATGCGGTCCAGCCTGGCTCTGTAACCCACCCCAGAAGGGCAAACAATCAAGCATTGACTGTTCCCAAAGGAAGGAGTGTGAAGCTGCAGGGTCTCCCTTCCTTGGGGCCTAGGGGGAGCTGTGTCCTTTCCTCTGTACCAGTCCCATTGGTGCCCCGGGTGTAGAGTCTGGACTTCACCCTCCTCTCCGCCTGTCCTCCCTTCCCTGTCCCCACTCTGGGTTCTCCTACACATTCCAGATTGAGTCACCTGCACTGACCAGGGATGGGGGGAGAGCAAAGGGGGTAGGCAGGCAAAGAGAACCTGGAGTCTGTACACGGTGGCTTTGGGGACTAGGTTCTTCATTTACTGAGGAGGGATTGGAAACTCGACAGGTAGAGGGCAGAAGTGTAAAGGGGATGGGGGAGTCTTGTACTCTAGATTTTAATCCCCACATCGCTCATCACTTTGTTCTAGAAGGAGAAGGAGGTGGAAGAGGAGGAGGAGGAAGAAGAAGAAAAAGAAGAAGCAACAGCAGCAACAGCAGCAGCCACCACCACCGCCTGGGATACCAGGGTTGTGGGGAAAAGAAAAGCATACCTTACATACAAAGAAAAGGCATGGTGAAGGAATACAAAAGGAAATCCCAGCAAATAAACTGTGAAATCCCCAAATGTGAAGACCCTGCCTTAGATCTCAACTACTCACATTTGGCTCAATCTTAATCAGCGCAAGATCCAGTTTATGGTCGATGTCTTTGACAGTGGCTTCATACTGGGCCCCACTCTGGAGCTCTACCTGGATCTTCTGATGGTTGGTGAGGACATGGGCATTAGTGACGATGAGCCCATCCTCAGATACTATGAACCCAGAGCCACTGGAGGCAGGGATCTCATGGTTGGTGAGAGGTGACCTGTCCCGGAACAGGATAATAGCATGAGCAAAGGGCAGCAACTGGGGAATCCAGCCATGGTGAGTTCCGAGAAGCCTTGCATTTATCAACCATAGCTCCAGGAGTTTTCTCAAGCATATTCCTTTCCCCTGTCCACTTCTATTCTCTTTGTGTATACATGAGTGGCATGTAGCATGTCCTGGCCATCTATCTCTTCTGAACACAGCTCAGATATGGAACACTGCTTTCTCCTTCAAATAGGGCCAGAGTGGCTGCAAAGAGGCCAAACCTGGTGTTAACAACGTATAGGCTCACACTACTGCCATAGTATCAAAATCTAGCTCTTGGTTTCCACTACCAACTGGCGTAGTGAAACAAAGCAAATTAATTTTCTGTCGATTCAGGTTTCCTTGCACGCAAGTGATGGCTAGGGCTAAACAAGACCACCAATGCTGACTAGCTCCTCCAATCTGCCTTAAGTTTTGCTTGTGGGGTATGGGGGAGAAAGAAACACCAGCCACCAACGTGCAAGGATGTAGCTTGAATTTAGAAGTCAGAATCCTTGCGCTTGGCTCTTCAGCAAAATAGCTCTTAATTTTTCTTCGGGTACTGGGCTGGAACCTAAAATTTCCCCACATGCTATGCACGAACTCCCCAGCTATACCCCAGCCAACTCTTTGAACCTGGGTTTCCTTGCAGCGTTTTTTAAGTGATCAGATAATGCGCAGCCATCAGGTGGGTCAGTTGGGCCAGGGTGTGAACTTTACCTGCGAAACAGCTGCAAGTGAACCACAGATGGCGCCACCTTCTCCACCACCGCTGCGATGAAGTTATACTTCCTCCGGAGCCACCCTGCACTTCTGGTCCCTGTGAATAAATGGACCATGGTGAGCGCAGGCATTGCTCCCTGGATGCAAGTGTCACACATCTCAAAATCCCCCAGCATCTCCCCGTCCCCCTTCCTCCACAGGTTCTCCACACCAGCAGATGAAAGAAGCAGGCCTGGCATACCAAAGGGAAGAAAAGGAGAAAGAATCCCCGTGGTAACCAGTAGAGTCCACATTTTTTTTAACCAGGCAAGGACACCAAGAACAACCACCACAACAGGTTCAATCCTTGGAGCTGGCGAAGGAGGGCTGACCCAGCCAGCGAGAGAGTGAGCAAACTCAAGAGCCACACACTTCATCTTCTTAGGAAAACTCTGAAATGTCGGAGGGAGTTATGGGGGGGGGGTCCCCGCACCTCGCTCACCTGGCTCCCCGCAGCCTCCCTTCTGCACCGGTACTGCCGGGGGCGAGCCCCGCAGGCGTGCGGCTCGGTTCTCCTTCCGGAGTGCGCACAGACTGGGATAGGTGCGTCCGTTGCTGCCGCACACCGCTGCGCCCTCCACGCCCTCCATGCAGCCGCAGGTGCCCAGCCATGCGCCCCCCGCAGGCTCCCGGGAGAACGGTGCACCGCAGCGCAGCCCCGACACGCATGGTCGGCCCCGCGCCCCGCCACACTCCTGACCCTCTGCTGCAGCGCACACGCGGCAGCAGCCGCAGCGGTCGGGTACCGGAGCTGTGCCGGTCGAGCAGGTGGGTAGTGGCGGGCAGCGTGAGGCATCGCAGGCCTCGGGACAGGGCATCGAGGCTCTGGACCTTCTGGCCTCTACCCAGGGGACAGGCAGCAGCAGCAGCAGTGGTAACAGCAGGAGGAACTGTGCCCAAACGGCCCATAGAGGCTGGGAACTCATCTTGTTCTCTGCCCTCCTGGATTCTACTTTTCCTGTTACTTCACTCAAAATTCACAACTGGTCCAAAATGAGCAACACTTTTTCCTGGTCTGGGTGCCACCCCTGCCAGACTCCAGACTTTATAAAGGACAGCCTCTGGCTCACTTCTGGGTGCACGCGCGCGCGCGCACACACACACACACAGACACACACACACCCATATATCACCCATCACCCATGCCACCCCAGGACTAGGGCCACCCACCCCTAAGCCATGAAGGGAGGGAGGGTCTACTCTAAAACCAGCCATGAGGCAAGTGGCAAACGTGACCACCCACCCACGGCCACGAGATCTGACCAGGAAAACAACCAACCAGATTTCATATTTCACATGTTTTTATTACAAAAACAAGCAACCAAACAGTTTTAGAAAATTACGTTTTGCTATACCAATTAGGATCACAACATAAGAAGCTGGAGTTTCCATGCACTCAGTTCAGTGCTTTCAGAGGTGTGTTTCACAGCTCAAACACTGGCTCCAACCGGGCATGCCACACCTTCATAAACAGAGGACCGAGGAGTCACGCTGTGTGTTTTTGCCAAACATTCACTGTATTCAAAGCCTACCTAGTATGAGTAACTGTAATTGATTCCGGCAGGGGGCTGAGGAAAACAGATTTTAGAGGGGGAAAAAATTTTAAGTTGAGAAAGTGACATGGGAAACTTAAATTTCCAAAATGCTGCCATTTGCTACCAGATGACTGTTTATTTGGTCAACTCTGAAGACATCAAATCCACTGCACAACGACTGATCTGTTATTTATTCAGAGTCGTTTTGGTCCTGAAGAGAGAACATTTATATTTTAAAAAGAGAGGAACAAAAGCACTGGGCTTTAAATCTCTCCCCAGGAGCTCATCATTCTACTTGGGAGAGAATGCCTGCTTGGTAGAAGTGTCACCCCACTGCTTTGACCTGAGGTCCCTCCCTAGTCTGTGGTCTCCCATATTCTCATCAGGGTTCACAGAATGACAGAGGCACACCATTTTTGCCTACTATCACCTGACCTCGGTAAAAAAAAGTCCATCAGACCTTTCACGGCTAAGGGATGGAGAGTCCTTCAGGTACTGAGAAGCCTTACAGAAGGACCCAATCCCAGAGACCACTTTTATTCCGCACACACAAAAACAAAAATGCAGTACCTTTTATAATTCAGAAATCCCTTCTGATATATCTACAACAAACGCTTAGCCACAGAACCTACCCCCCCCACAACACCCCACCACAGGGTTCTATTAGATACAGTGAAAACTAAAAGTTTATGTACTATCTTTGGCTTACATTAAAATACTGTGATAGGCTGGATATGATGGTACATGCTTGTAATCCAAGCACTCAGGAAGCAGGGTAAAGGCAGGAGGATTACCAGTTCAAAGCCAGCCTGAACTACATATCAAGACTCCAGCAAAAACAAATTTTAAAAAGAGGGGGAGGGGAGATTAGCATAAAACTGGTCAGAAATCCGGATAAAAGGGGAATTCTGAAATAAGAATTAAGAATTTGAATGTCTCTGGACTCCACACAGATAATTATATTTTCTCAACACCAAAACTATATTAACAATGTTCTAACTTAGAATCCCCATGTATTGGCTAGTGAGACACATGGAAACACTGTGCTGTCCTTTATTTACATAAAGTAAACTGCACTGGGTTTAATCTAAGGACAGTCTCAAAATACTTAATGAAACCTATCAGCTTTCGATAATGACCAGTTACTGTAGCAGTAACAACCTAGCAAACAGACGGACAAATTTCGAAATTTTAACCCAGCAGATGACATCATCTCCGTGAGTCAGGGGATGTGTAAAGCCCATTCCAGAGTTCCTAACTTATTTTCATTAGTTCCTCATCTCATGTTGAGCAATTTCTGTTGAGCAGCCAAAGAATTTTCTAGAGAAAGATTTTAAGTTGAAACCAGAGACAAAGGGCTTTAAGAATTTGGACTGGCTTTTGAAGTAAGTTATAACCTTGATCACTCATAAATAAATAATCCCTAAAACCCAAAACCAGAGAGTTTATGAAAACCAAAATACAAAAAAAAAAAAAAAAAAAAAAAAAAAGTTCTTTTAAAAAGTAATAGTAAAGGGGAGAGTGAGAGAGATGGAGAACAGAGAGAGATCCAGGATTTCTTGTTTTTTAGATCTTTTTAGATCAGGAACACAAGGCCAAACCTAAAGTGGGGGACAGCTTCCACTCAATGAGCTCAGGAGTCTTCTGTGTGGCAGCAGCTTCAGGGTCTAGTCTAGTCACATTAGAAAGAACACACACACACTTCCTCTCACACAAAGATTTATGCCTGTTTTTCTTTTGCATTAACTATGGACACAAAGAGTGGTGATTGACTTAAATAAAAATGCTTGGTAGTCTCTTCTTAGAGCTACAAGTTTCTAACTAAAAAATACAACTAACTTATTTAGCTGATAAAAGTTACACAGATAGGAATGAGCCAAAAGTCTCTGGTAACACAGTTCACTGAAGGTTGACAGACAAATGCCCCCAAAGGCAATGGAAATAGTATCTTGCTCAATGGAAAAAGCCACACCCTGAATTTCAGGTGGAAATCCAATCTTCGGAACTCATCTAGAACCCAGAAAATCCCTAGCCAACAATTCACCCTCTGATAAGTTTCTTTATTCCCAGTTTCTATTCCATGAAAAATATCATTATTGAAAACAATCATCTTTGTTGTCTCTCCACTGGGGAGTACACAGGATCTTATGAGATCAAGCTGGGCTTCCACCTACTGTATGCATGGCTTCATTTACCAGGCAACTTAAAAAATAAAAAGCAAGTCCATTAGCAGGGTGCACAAGATACAAGCACTTAACACTAGACAAATGACGACTCATTCTAAAAGAACCGTGAGACAGGGATTCAAGATTCATTGTGCCAAAGCTGGACCATTCTCCTGTCTGGAAAACATAAATCAAAGGTGCTTCCTGAAATAAACAATTATCCATCTCCTCTCAGTAGTTACTTTGCATGAAGCTTCTGAGATGGAGATTGCACACACACACACACACACACACACACACACACACACACACAGGAATCATTCTACACTTAACCAACACACACACATATACTCAAATAACATGGTTTCAAGGGAAGTGTCTGTTCTGGCCTCCACGATCCTACATTTTAACACTGATAACCCCATCCCTGGGGCCTGATACAGAAAACAGACCTGTGGCACTATCATCCAGGTCTACAGCATTTGGAATCACAGAGAATCAAGAGGACAGCATAATTCCCACAAGTGGCTATGGCAGCTTAATTAGCCTCTGTGACTCATAAGAGGTCCCCTCTCCTCCTCTGGGAGGTGTCCTGAGGGGAACTGCCCAAGAAGACATTTTGAAGTTCCCCCTTCACTCTCCAGATTCAAAGGCCACCTAACAGAAGGAGTCAGTCAAGCTGGAACCCAAGTCTCCCATACCCCGATGCCTTTTTGTCCTGATAGTAAGCATCTTCCTGATCCCCACAAGTCAGCCAATAAACAGGGGTAGACAGAACCAGCTCATAGCCTGAGATCTTATATATAGACTGGAAACAAAACCAAGAAGATAAAAGAAATACAAATTGGGGGCAGGGGGACTTGTAGGGGTGAAACTAGACTCTAACCACCCCCCCAGACAAGAAGTATTAAAATTAACCCCTCACTAGGAAACCTGGGAAAAGGGGGACATTCAAGAGGCAATGGAGTATGCCTATGGGTCTAACCTAATGACTTCCTCCAGTTAAATACACTGTGTTGATAATAACAAAAACCAAAGCCAGTTGCATGGGCCCCTCCACTGTGAGTGCCATTAGCCTCTGTCCTCCATCATGGCAGAGAAAACGAGTCACAGCGCTGTCTCTCCTGCACACTATGGCACTGCATATCACACATCAGAGGTCCGTATGTTTTCATCATCAAGGTTGAACACAAATGGCTTCTCCTTGGGGTGCTGAGGCTCCGACCTGTGCCTGACTCGAGAACTCGCCAGCACCCCTGTAGCAATGCTCTCCCCAGGGTGAGGCACAAATAAAGAGTCCTCTGGAGCATTCTCAGCTGACAACAGCTTTTCCCCAGCCTGGGGGACAGGTGTCCAGGGTTGCCAGGAGGAGGCCACAGAAGGGGCCTTACAGAGAGCCCTTTTTTCTTCCATTGCTGGCCGCCGCCTCAAGATGGAGTTAGGCCCACTTGGGAGGCTGGAACTTCCAGGTCGAGTCAAAGAAATGGATCTAGAGAAGGATGGTTCCTAAAAGCAGAAAGAGAAGAAAAGACAAAATAAGGGGTTTTCCTCAAAGGGTTTATCCCAAAGTCTCATGAAAAGTACCCACCCAGGATCACCAGCTCAAACAGGGACACTTGGCTCCAAAACCCAAGCAAGTGCATCGGAGTCAGGGACACCTGCAGACCCTGCTCCCCATGAGCCTAAGGCAGGAGGCTTGCTTGAGCTATGAGGTTCAGGGCTAGTCTGGGCCACACAGAAAACTCGATATATATATATGTATGTATGTATGTATGTATGTATGTATGTATGTATATGTATATGTACATATATGCATTTCAAAAGTAAATAAATACATAAATAAATAAAGATACCAAGCAGAATTCAGTACACATGTTTGGAGATCTGCTTGACACTGGACTTGGAGGACACATTACAGACTTCATCTCTCTGTCCAGCCCAACCTCATGTACACCAACAAGCCAAAGAGGGGGAAAGAACTGTCCCCAAGTTAGCAGGAGAAAACAAGTGAGCCCGCCTATGGCTCAGCTGCACTCACGGCTGGGCTGCCTGCCTACACCACCAAATAAAACATACCCGTTCAGAGCTAAAGGAAGTGACTTACTCTGGGGTGGCACTTGAGGGCCTGGACAGCTGCTCCAATCTCCTGAATCCAGCTGTGCATGTCTTCAGGGCTGTCTGCCTGCAAAACATCCACAACACTTAACACACATTTTTTGGGGTGTGACTTCAGCTTCCAAGTCTCTGGATCAAGTTCATAAAATCACATCATTCCGGTTCAGGGGGACCTTGGAAAGCATGTGGCTTGCAGACTTCTGAGGACATTTCCTCCCTTCCCTACAATCTCTCTATTGATGCCCCCTAACTAAAACTGCTCAAAGTGAAGCTGCCCTAAGAGGAAGAGGGGTGTGGGTAGGGGATACCCTAGTGCCCCATCTTCTGTCTAAGCCCATCACCCCATCTGAAAAACAGCTGAGCCACCCCAGGCTCCTAGTTTTTACCCCAAGGGAAAATTAGGTCCAGAATGCCACAGCCCCAGGCCTGAGGCTGGTCTAGACCCCACCCTCCTCACCTCTCCCATAATTATCTGAACAAAAGACCCCCTACTTTAAATCCCTCTAAAGCAAACTCCCTCTACAGACCCTCCAAGTTACACACGACCATGTATGTGCTGATGGAAACCGCGCCTTCCTCCAAGCACAAGCTGCTCCGGTCTGTCCCAAAAATTCAGCAGTCTTAGCTAAACTGAAGAGCACAACAGCAGAACTGAATGAAGCATATCCCCTACCAACAACTTTCTCAGCCAGAAGGGGGCAGCAGCCTCTCTGTGGAAAGAGGAAGACAGAGGAGGCCCGCCCCCTGCAGGCAGAGCCTCTAGGAGCCTCCCAGCAATAGGAAGCAAACGTGCAGGCAAACACAGATAGCTGCAGAGAGCCCTGTGCAGTGGCTGCCAGAATGGAAACAAGGCTTAAGTTCTGCTGTTCCAGCACCGTCTCATAACCATCCACCTGAATACAGGTGTGTGTGTGTGTGTGTGTGTGTGTGTGTGTGTGTGTGTGTGTGTGCGCGCTCGCGCGCATGTGCACAAGCGTGCAACAGTACCCAGACTCTACATTCTCCACTTGCTCCCCTTGCTTGTCCATACCCCAACTCTTTGAATGCTACCAGGATAAAACAGGGCTGCTTTGCTTTTCGTGGGGTTTTATGTTTCTTATTTTCTCTCAGATTTGCATCACTACCCCTTCCCATCAGCCCCGAAACGGAGCCCTCTTGGTTCACTGTGTGCAGTACACACCAACAAAGGTACTAGGTCAAAAAGAATGACGAAGGCCCGTGGTGCACAGCTCTAGCACCTGCTACCTGCTAACTTATTTATACTTGCCTCTCCCCCATGATTCTTTCTGGCTATCTGGCAATCTAGTAGCTTCCCAAGGAAAAGGCAAATACATTCCTGGTCCAAAAAGAATAGCTGAAATTAGGTATCTAAACTTTTCCTAAGACCAGGATGAGAGAGAGACAGACCTACAAGAAAGAACTAAGTAAGCTGTGAGGTTCTACTGTTTAACTAGCACCCAGACAGCAGAGCACTCTATGTATTGGTAATGATTGCTGTTTTTACTATTCTATAGCAAGAGGGAAGCTCTCTCCTCTGCCTCACCCTGCTTGCTGGCCTCACTCTCATAGATCCTGCAGATGGACAGAAGATGCATGCAGACACGATATGCATGACTGAGGGAACGCGTCAGAAAGTCACTTGAGTATAGTGCGTCACACCTCTGACCCTGCAGAACAAAGTGTGTAGAGTTCTTCGGCCTTCGAATGAAGTGTGGCTATTTTTATTTAAAACAAGAGACTGACATAGAAGCCATGAATCCAACTTTTTCAGGGGCAGGTACTTTGCAGAATTTATTTCAAAAATGAGTCAGTGAGACCAAGGAAATATAATTTCGTTTTGCCAACAAAGCAAAACAGAATTTCAGAGAACTTGGCTCTAATTGCATAAGCTCAACACCCTCCCACATTCAAAGATTTCACTGATATCATTAACTATAAGATATCAATATATGTGACTTTCAAAATATTACATAATAGCATATGATACCATTTTGAGGATCTGCACCACTTGATAATAGCAGTATTTTCCAAATGATGAGTACAAACTATGGATTAAAAAGTATCTAAATCAACTGGTGACCAGTGGATTTTAGCTACGCATATGCAAATGTGTGGATAAGGCTCCAGACTACACTGCACCTAAATATTAAGAAATCACTATTTTTCAAGTTCTAGTATGAAACAAAAAAGTAATATCTGATATTATATAGAAGGATATATTGAAATAATCCTTTTGTCCAAATATTTATTTGCATAAGGTCAGATTTTCAAAATCTTCAGAGTAACACATGGACACAGACAGCATGATGAAATTCCTATTGTCTTCTATGAGCCAACCATTAAAGAGTTACTCAGAAATAGAAAATAATCCCACTCTTGCTATTTTTAGAAGAATAGTTATTTTCACAAGATCTTTTCTTAATTAATCATGAGTTTAAAGTTGTAACTTCCAAGTGAATCAACAAATATGTTTACTGATATATATATATATATATATATATATATATATATATATATATTCTTCTCTGACACTCCATTCTCTTTAAGCCTTGTGCTACTCTTGCTACTCCACTCATTTATGTATTCAGACTGATGCTAGTGTCCTTGGTTCTTAGAAATTTGGAGAGCAAAAGGAAAGGAATAGAGAAACAGTAAGAACTCTGGGAAATGCTGGTCCCTATTAGATGATGCAATGGCTTCTGAACGTTTTTGGTTGAGCCTCCTGTGTCCCAAATTACTAGCCTTAGTGGGGAACTTCTAGAGTATCTTGACTTGACAAGCATGTATTTAGTCACCAGCAGGCTGAGCATCATCTAAGTAATGCTCATCACAAGGTGTATCTTTGGATGTTCCACTATAACCCCTGTGTTATAGTGTGAATGAGAAAAATGTCCCCCACAGGCCTATGTATTTGAACATTTGGTTCCTAGCTTATCTGGTCCCCGTTGGTGGCACTGTTTGGGGAATTATGGAACCTTTAGGAGACAGAGCCTTGATGGAGGAAGCCCATTACTAGGGACAGGCCTCTCCCCCTCTCTTTATGCTTCCTGCTCCTGCTGCCATGGCATGTCTTTCCTGCCCAGATAGACTCAATCCCTTTGGAACCGTAAGCCAAATCAAATCCTTCCTCCCTTGCTGCTTTTGGTAATTGTATTTTATTGCTGTACAACAGACAAGTAAGCAATACACCTAGTGCTAATGCTGATTTTCCTCACAATTGCTTACCCTCTGTATTACCAGGGAAGTTAGCAGGTATCAACCAGCACAAAGCTTGGGCCACACCTCTGGGATCTGTCTTCATCTCTTCCCTCCCCCTTCATACAACGAACTCTCCAGTCCTAGAGAATGGACCTCTTCTGTCTCTCTGAAATTCATCACTTTCCTTCATCCACCTAAGTCCATCACCCAAATCCTTATCAAGGCCTTCACACTGTCCTTTTTAATCCTGCATTGCCATTTTCTTATCTGACCTTCATGATACCTGGTGTCAAGCAGTCTTCAGGGTCATTAGAAAGGCTGGGCTTGAGTTTTTCATCTCCATTGTATACATGCAGAAAATGAGACCCTGGATATTCAATAAGTTGTCTGTTTCATATTGTCCTCATCTTACCTTTGACTTACCTTTGACCAAATATAAGCTGGCTATCAAAGCAGACAGGACAATGAGATCTGCCAATAGCTGCACAGCCTACCCCACAGCTCTCTATTCCCCTTCCACAGGCCCTCGTCATGGGGGTATTCCCTTGCCTGGCCCCATCTCCCCCGAGTCCTCTTCCTTCAGAACACTTTTCCTGTCCCTTTCCCCCAATGGACAACAGCAGACAGTCACCATTCTAAAGTCCGTTCCAGAAGTCACAGTTCTGTGGAGGAGTTGCTCTGGTTTTGTTTATTAATTTCCTTGTCCCCTTTGGGTGGCTTGTTTTGTACTGGTGGTAAGTACGCTTGGATTCTTTACCTTCTGCCACTCATGAGGGGATTCCCTGGTCTCCTAGATGTTATTTCGACTTGCAAATGCTAAGGGCTAGTCTTTGTGAAGTTCCAGACCAGTTCCCACCAACACACGCATTACACAGCACAATTTACATCATCCAGAAGATTTCCCTGTGCATCAGCTACCAAACATGTGATTTCAGTTGCTTGATTACTTAGCTTAAAGATCAGTTCTTTCTAATCCATGAGCCCAACCTCAGACCCAGATCATTGACCGTACTCTACAAATACCAACTCAAGAGCTAGAACCTTGTGTTAAAGTACAGGGTAGTCCTTTTGTCTGAATGGCAGAGTCTCAGGAGAACAACTAGATTTAAGAGCAAAGTGACCCTCTCCATGATCCAGTCTGCTCCCCTGCCCCCCTCTGCCATATCTTCCTGGACAGTGTGCTTGTTCCAGTGAGTATGGTCTGAAAACGCCTCATTTGGCCAGTGTGGCTGCTGGTTTAAAGTGGAAAAAGAGTAGAGACACAAGCCCTACTGCTCAAAGAATGGGAGAGAGGCCTCATCCTTTTGTGGGAGGATTTGGTGGGGATGGGGTGGTGGAGAGACGAGAAGACAGAATGTGAGAAGCCTCCAAAACTCTGCTTGGAAGCCAGCACACTCGGTGGGCTGCTGGGTAGCCTAGGCTGAGGAGTTGGCCCTGGAAGTCTTCACCCTGCTTAGAAAATCTGCCTGGCTAGCTGCTGTGACTTCATACTGGATTGGGAGAGCTCCAGATCTGGGGGTGGGGGAACTCCTGGTAAGTGAATGGTCAGAGCCCAAACAATGGCTTTCTCTGTGCAGCTGGCTATGCACCTGTGCCTGCACAGGGCCCTCTGTGCTTCTGTCCTTCTGCACACAGTAATGTCCATACATAGACAGGACTTATAAATACCCTCCGGAGCAGAAGTGAAACCACCCAGCAGTTCCCCTTTTCTCTGCTTAGCTGGAGCTCTGCAGCGAGTGCAGCTGCACACATCCTCGGGCACAGTTGATTGACCTGTTTGTAGTGTCCTTGGGGAGGGGAACTTCTGACTAGCATCCTCCTTAGAATGAAACTGGACACAGACTGACTACCTTTAGTCAGTTGAAATCGATCACTGAGAAACTACAAGCTAAAGAGAAGAGGAAACAAGGGCAGGGGTGGGTGAGGGTGACATTTACCCACAGTTGCAGAGATGGGATGCTGGTCTTGGGGTGAGCATTTACCTGTACATAGAATGTCCTGGAGGTGGTTATGATTTCAAACAGGTTGTCCCTCATTAAGAGATCGCTAGGGAGGGAAAGAGAGAGAACATTACTTGAGGAATTGTGAGTGCTTTATTTTGCACAATATATCCTACAGTTTTCACAATTACCCATTAATGCATCTCAAGACTTTGTCCTATCTGTGGGTAAGATAGCCCAGGTTCAGTGACTTTAAATGCTTTGTCTGCCCGAGGTGCTAGAGAGCCACACCTACTGAGTCCAAACTCGCCTTTTCTAAGGGAGCTAATGCCATTTCTAAACCCTTCCTTCCCCCTGGGCAGCAGCTCCACCCACAGCTCTGAGTTCCTCCTGCTCTTGGCCTCATTGCACTGTCCCGGGGGACAAGGAGCTAAAGAGAGAAACAAAAATGGAGAGTAAAACAGCTTTAATATTGGCTTCCCAGAAAACAGTTCAACATCCTTAGCCATCAGAGAAATGCAAATTCAAATTATTTTAAGACCCACAGCAAGAAGATAACAGAGACTGGCAACGATGGGGAAAGATGAGCCCTTCCTTACTAATGGTGTAAACTGGTGCAGCCACTATGGAAATCAGTCTAGACGTTCCTCAAGAAACTAAAAATAAGATGACCTTATGACCCATCTATGCTACTCCTGACATGTTAGCGGGAAGACTCTACATCCTCCCGTGAAAATACTTGCCCCTGGCAATTACTACATTACTCACAATAGCACAGAAATGGTATCAACTTTGACGTCCCATCAGCAGATGAATGGTGCACAGACACAACAGAATTTGTTTGGTTGTGAAGAAAAAAAAAGGGGCTGGACAGACGGCTCAGCAGTTAAGAGCATTCTCTGCTCTACCAGAGGGCCTAAGTTTAGTTCATAGCACCAATATCAGGAGGCTCACAACCACATGTGATTGCAGCTCCAGGAGATCTGACACCCTCTTCTGGCCTCCCCAGGTACCTGCACAGATGTAGCACACTCATACAGATAGTCTACATCCATATAAATAACAACAACAACAAAGATTAAGGAAAATAAAATCATGGAATTTGCAGAAAAACACATGGAACTGGAAATGATTATATTAAGCCAAGTAACTCAGACTGAGAAAGACTGATAGTGTGTGTTTTCCCTCACAGGTGGATCCTAGACTTCAATTTTTATTAGTGTGTAAATTTGTATGTGTGGGAGTAAATAACACATCATGAAACTAGAAAGAACTGTGAAGACTGGCAAGATGGCTCAGCAGGTAAAAGAGCTTGCCACGTACCACCAGGTCTGACTTGGCAGAAGGAAAGAACCAGTTCCTACACATGGCCTTCCGACCTCCACGTGGACATATGTGTGCATACGATCACACACATAAACCAACAAGCAAGTAATGTGTAAACATTTTTTTAAAGAAAGGAGACCATGAAGGGGAAAACAAAGAGGCTGTGAGAGGGGGATAGGATGGGGGTGACCATGGACAACGGGCCAGCATGAAGAGTGGGAGTAGCGTGGGGAACAAGGGACATATGAAAACCGCATACTGGAACCTATGCCCTTGAATGCTTGAACAAAATAAATTAAAAAAAAAAAAAAACAGAAAAGATCTGCTTCTGAGGATAGGGTGTAGCTTAGTGGTGGTGTACCAACACCAAATCAATGAATGACAAATAAGCTTCAGAGAGAGAGGGAAAGAGAGAGAGGCAGACAGAGAGGGCATGCATTTGATGGAGATCAGGCAGGGAGGGAAATGTGGGAGGGCTTGGAAGAATAAAAGGGAAGGGAGAAATGTAATCATATTGCAATCTCAAAAAGAAAAGAACAACAGGCTTTTACACTGGGTGTGGGTTTTGGAAGAGAAATCCTGACTCCCGCCAAGCAGAGGGCAGGAAGTAAGTGGAAATGGCACAGCTGGAATTGGCTGACATTGTTTTTTATGTTCACTGCTTGCAATGTGCATCCAGTCACCATGGGGACTGCATGAGGAGTAAAGACCTAATTGCTACCAGGAAAAGCACCTGAGGAGGCCAGACCAGATGCAGGTAAGACTGCATTCCATGTTAACAAAGAGCCTCGTGCCAAGGGAGGGTTGGTCACAGGCAGAAATACCTTCTAGAATGAAAACACACAAGTGGCATGGCCAGTGACATGCCCTTCAGGTAAGGGGGGGGGGCGGTTCGACTTCAGACCTGGCCCAAACACCGAGGAGACAGTCTTTGGGACATGCACTATAAATGTTGTCAGTCCTTGAGTGGGAAATGGAAACAAAGATGCTTGAACAGCACATCCACCAACTATTACTCCCGTTTTCTGAGCTTCTGAGTAAGGATAGCTCTCCATAAGAAAATGGCCTCCAGAAGATCAGGCTGTGGACAAGCCAGTAGGGCATTTTCTTAATTAGATGTGGGAGGGCCCATCCCGTTATGGGTAAGAGTATCCCTGGGCAGGTACTCATAGGTTCTGTAAGAATACAGGCTGAGCAAGTCATGGAGAACAAGCCAGTGAGCAGCGCCCCTCCATGGCCTCTGCACCAGTTTTTTTACTCCATGCACCTGTCCTGAATTCCTTTGATGATGAACAGTGACATGGAAGTGTAAGCCAAATAAATCCTTTCCTCCTAAGCAACAACAGAAAGCCTAACTAAGAGAGGGCTAAATGGTTTCAACTTCTAGATTGCTCATGCAAATACAATTAAGTTCCAGAACCACTGAGGAGATGAAATCAAACAGGAAGGGAGTTCTACCCATTTTCACATCCACTGCCCAGGCTGCTACTTTCAGTTCGATTCATTTCAACAGCATTGGCTCCAGAGAGGCTACACCATCTAACAGAGCTGAGGCCACAAAGCCACAACCTTCCCAGTGGACTTCACCTCCCTGACTCAAGCTCAGTGTGACTCAGGCAGAGTTAGAGGTAGGGTGAGTTTTCAGGGCTCTCAGGCTGAACCCCACCCTAGCTCTCCAAGCTGGGCTAGCTTGTCCAAGTCACCTCATAGGCTACTCATAGATCTACACGGTCCTTCAGGGTCAGGAGCAATTGGTGATCTCTCATGATCCAACCATGCTGAGTTCTGCCCTCTGGAGCCACACTCAGGGCAATGTCTAGCTATGGCTACTGTCATGGATTACAAATTACCCAGTCTTCTGTACCCTCCAAGGGCTATTTGAAAGACTTAGTACAGCAATTCTGTTCCGGCGTCCCTGGATCAAATAAGAGTGGCTACTGTGTTCCAGGACAGCCAGGGATACACAGAGAAGCCCTGCCTCAAAATAAATAAGTAAATAAGTAAATAAACACCAAAGGGGAAAGGCCTAAGAATTTCACACAATGACGCATGTGAAACCAGTGAAAGGCCAGGGCTCCATCTGAGATCAGGGACTGACACCTGACTCTGACACCTGAGAAACACCTAAGTGTTACTCTCTGCTGCCACCGGAAGGTGCCACATAGGCTCATTTTAGGCAAGAGTAGGGAAAGGAAGGAGGGTGCTTTGCCCAGTGTGACCTCAACTCTGCATTGGTTTGGGTGCACTTGGTCAGCCACAAGGACTCAAACGGAGTCTGAAAGGGGGTAATGAATGAAAATTGAAAAAAGACAGGGGCTCTGCTCAGAATGAATAAGAAGGGGCTGGAGAGATGGCTCAGCAGTTAAGAGCACTGGCTACTCTTCCAGAAGACCCAGATTTAATCCCCAGCACCCACATAGTAGTAGCTCACACCTGTCTGTAACTCCAATTCCAGAGTATCCAACACCCTCACACAGACATACACTCAGGCAAAACACCATAAAAAAGAGAAATAAATATATTAATGAATAAGGAGAGGCAGTTACCCAGACTTGACGAGACACTCATGAGTCTTGAGAACATCCTTGAGCAGTATAGTGCGAAGGGGCTCCCGGTCCTGGTGGGAAGCATGGAAGATGAATAGGTGAGGCTATGTAAATGGCCCAGTGACCCACACCAGCTCACCAGCATCCCTCTCTCAGAATCTTGGCTGAAACCAACCTGGTTTCAAAATAATCACCAAGGGGGAGAAATCTAAGCAGCAGCTGCCCTGTGGCTCCGCCCCCACAGCAGTCCACAGCTCAGAGGCTGGCAGCAGCCTGGGTCCTTTTAATAGCATCATAAAGAGACAAGGGTTGGATAGAGAGGTAAGACAAAGAGGTGCCTTGGAAGTCTACGAGGGCTCGGTCTCCACTCATGCACACTCTCTTCTTTGGTGATCTCTCGGGAGGGAACGGAACCTACTACCCACCTGCTCACACTTGAAGTAGCAGATGGTAAAGTCATCAAGGGCAAAGAAGCGACGTTTCCAACTCTTTCTCTGAAATGCAAAATACAGAGCCAAACATTAAGGAGAGGGCTCTAGCACCAGGATTGGCACTGTCACAATAAATACCCAGGCAACCAGCACCGTGAAAGCCAGACTTTCGTCTTCACTGGGGAAGTACAAAAGCAGTGAAAGGACCGAGGCCTCCATCTGAGCCTGGGCTTCCCAAGGCCAAGCACCTAACTCTAACACCTGAGAAGCACCAATTGTCACTCTCTGTTGCGCCCAGAAGCTACTGCTGTGCTGGCTTGACACAATCTGAGAGGAGAGAACCTCAATTAAGAAAATGCCTCCCAAAAAGTGGGCTATAGGCAAGTCTCCATTGAGAAAATGCCTTCTTAATATCCAGCTGTGGTGCATATTCTTAATTAGTGATCGATGGGGGCGGGCCCAGCCCATTGTGGGTGGTGCCATCACTGAGCTGGTGCCCTGGGTTCTGTAAGAAAGCAGGTTGAGCAAGCCGTGTAAAAGCAGGCAGCTCTCCTGAATGGCCTCTGCCTCAGTTCCTGCCTCCAGGTTCCTTCCAGCTTGAGTTCCTGTCCTGACTTCCTTCAGAGAAGAACAGTGCTGGGGAAGGGTAAGCCAAATAAACCCTTTCCTCCACAACCTGCTTTTCATTCACAGTGTTTCATCTCAACAACAGAAACCCCGACTAAGACAACCACAGGAGCTCATTCTCTTAGCAGCAACAGTAAGGGGATGGGAGGAGGGAAATTTGCCCATCAGTTTGCAGACTGCATCAGTTTGAAGGCAGGGAGGCTTCTTCATACTAGCAACAAGCTTTCTTGGGGGCCAATGCCTCGTTCCCAGTGGTGGTTAGCAAAGAGGGGGGGACAGCTCCTCCTGTCATTGTCCTCTGCTGCACCCATGCCCACTGGCTCTGAGAAAGTACCAGAACCCCAGTGTAGCCCATGGACTGGCACTCACCACGTTCCCTTGCTTCACACAGTAGCCACTCTTAATGAGGGGAGGCCCGGTGGAGGGACGGCAGCCTGACGTGGGGATGTAGCTCTGAGACCTCCTCAGGAAGGCGTGAGACCCTGTCTCAGTCCCTTCCTGCCCATCCCCACCGTTCTACAAGGAAACAGTGTCACTGTTAATGTCCCAGTCACTCCTCTGGGCAGCCCCAGCTGCTGCCGGCCTTCCCACCACACCTCCAGCCCTTTTGATATTATGTCAGTCAAAGAAATAAAAAGTGACTTTGCTCCCAATCAGGTGCTCCACTGAGTGTTTTCACAAAGCAAGACACTGGCTAGAGAAACCCAGAAAAGGAAGGCTAGACAACGTAGACAGAAGAGGGCACAAGCCCCCAAATGGAAAGAGGGACTGCAGACTTGGGTCTAGTCTCACTCCCTGCCACGCTTCCTTTAAGTTTTACAAGTGTTTGTTGCCTGGGTCTTAAGGAGAAGCACACAGACCACAGATCCTCAAGACATCATGATGTCATGGCCTCAACTCCTACATCGGCACTGGCCACACCCACCCTGCACTGTATTTTCTTGGCCACCCCTCTCCACTACATCCCCAAATCCTGTTGCTATGCGCTGCCCCCAGCAGCCCCCAGCCAATGGCACCTGGCTGATGGGTGTTTGTACCACCACTCCCCCGATGATCTCAGTCTTGTAGGCCACCTGCGGCTTCTTGTCTGGGTTGGGAGGAGCTGTTAGGTTTCTGAGAACTTCAGTGGCCAAGGGTAGGGTCCCAGCCTTAGGTACCTGAGAAAAAAGAGCGGTATGGTCGGCAAAAAATAGAAATCTTAGGGGACAGGCAGAACCACAAACAGGATGTAGATAAGTAAAAGGAAAAGCTAATTTATTAAATGATGGTAAGAACACTCTCCACTCCAGCTCTTCCATGCATATTCATATCCAAATAGGAGGAACTCAGTCAGTAACCCTGTACACACCCTTACCCAGTGACACACACACACACACACACACACACACACACGTATACACAAGCACACACATTTTTATACACACACAATATACACAGATAAGAAAGACACACACACACAAAGACATACACAAATATACACATACACATAAAACATACACACACACACACAGAGCAAAGTTACTGCATATCTATTAGATGAGCTAACCCTGATAAAGAAAGCAAAGATCAAACACCCAGCCCTAGCCTCTTGACACTCATGTGCTAGTAATTAAGACTGGACAAAAAGTCCCCAGCAAAACAAGGAGTCAGAGTACTTATAAATGAACATGACATGGCAGAATATATACATTACACACACACACACACACACACACACACACACACACACACACACAATCTTCTTCCTGTGAGTGTCTTGAGGTAGCACCCCATATCCAGAGACAGCACACAGCAAAATCCTTCCTCCACCAGCCAGCCTTGCCTCACCCTTCCCTTGTGCAGGGTTAGCAAGGTTTATCAGAATAGTAATGAGCTGGCACACTCCTTAAATGACTAAATTTTACCCTACTTGGGTCCAGCAACACAAATGCTAGACACACACACACACACACACACACACACACACACACACACACACACCTACTAATATTCATGGGAATTCTAAGGTATCTGGAAGAATAATTTGCTCCAGTGATGGGCATTTTCATTTGAAATCATTGGAAGACCAATTTTTCCGACTGCATGTGCTGGCTAGTCTTATTTCAACTTTGACACAAGCTACAGTCAAAGAGGAGGGAGCCCCAATTGAGAAAATGCCTTCATAAGGTCCAGATATTATGTATTTTCTTGGTGATTGATGGGGGACAGCCCAGCCCATGGTGGATGAGGCCACCACTGGACTGGTGGTCCTGGATTCTATTAAAAATCAAGCTGAGCAAGCCAATGAGCAGCACCCTCCATGGCCTCTGCTTCAGCTCCTGCCTCCAGGTTCCTCCCTGCCTGAGTTCCTGTCCTGACTTCCTTCACAGTGATGGACTGCAATGTGGAAATGTAAGCCAAATAAACCCTTTCCTTCCCAGATTGCCTTTAGCCATAGTGTTTCATCACAGCAATAGAAACCCAAAGACACTGTACAATTCAGAATTTCTGTTTTCAGCACAACGTGGTAGAGCAGATTCTCCCTGACTTGCTGGGTTTCATTTTGCTGCTATTTTTTTTTTCTCCCCCTCAAAGTGCTTTTTGCAATAGTCACTAAATGGTCCCCAAGTTAGATGCTCAGTCCCAGCTTGTGGCACTACTGGGAAGCAGTGGAACTTTCCAGAGATGGGACAGAGTAGGAAAAGTTAGGTCATTGGGCATGTGCCTTTATGGGGATAGTGGAACCCCAGCTCCTTCTTGCTTTGTTCTTTGCTTCCTAACTACTGGGAGATGAACAGGTCTCCTATGTCACATGCTCCACCTTGATAGCTTGCCTGAGAAGAGGCCCAAAGGAGCAGGGATACCCCATGATCTGCAAGAGCAAACATCATGATCTGCAATTAACCTCTCCTTCTTATAACTAGATTATCTCAAGCATGTTGTCACCATGCTGGGAAGCTAACACATCTTTCCCCTGACCTTCTCACTCTGCTCTATTTCATCTTTTAAAGATATGTCTATAGAACAGGAAATAAATTATTCATTAGCTACGTCCCAGGAAGACAAGAGTACTTAACACAGTCCATGAACAAGTTAGCAAAGCTTTGAACTGGAAGACGTTCCCAGACCTGACAAAGAAGAATATCCCCCACTAGAAAAAGAAATAGATCTAAGTTCCTTCTCATATGCTTTCTCCATTCCCAGACTTCCCATAGTCAGCAATCCTTTTTCCAGCACAACACTGAATCAGCATCCCATAATTACCCGGAACATGACTGATAGGAACCCCTCCCAGGAAGTACAAAGGGGACAGGACTCTGCATAAACTTCCCCTTGAACTTGATGCAAACTCAAACTCTCAAGTTAACTTGTTGTCAGCCAATGGACAAGAGGAGGTTAGAGAGAGCTGGGCCTGCACAGGCTCCGGGGCAAGTCCCTGCTGCCTTCTAAATTCTGCTCCTACCCCACTGAGGCCAAACACTGGAAATGCCACTCTCATTACCAGAAAGAAACAACAGTATACGTACAGTGATTTTGCTGGCTTGGTTCAAGGCTTCAACCCAGTCCTTCAGATCTTTCTGGTCATTGGCTTGAAGAAAATATCTCTGAGACAGGGCATTGATAACTGTAAGAGTAATGGGGAAAGAGAAACGGTCTCAGGTCAGAATCCATGAACCACAAGAACCCATGTCGGGATGGAAGACCCATAGAGGCTATTCCGTAGATAGATCCAGGAACTGCTCCATGCTGTCAAAGTCACTTTCATATTCAGAAACGGCAGACCAGAGCAACTCATCTTTAAAAGCAGGGATTCTTCCATCAGCCACCAGAATGGCACTGGCACTAAGAGCAGCAACCCATCTGCCACCAATAAGACACTCATGAAGCATTGGGTATTGGTGACCTGCTGCTGGTATGCTAGCCCAGGAGCCTAGTACTTCCTTCTACCAGCACCGTCTTGCCTAGTCTGTGCCTGGGAGATGGAAGAAGACTTGCTGGAGATGGGGTCTGTGACCTTGACCTCATTTTCAACCTGTTCTTCCCTCTGACATCTCCTTAGTCAACAACTTACCTCTGAATTTTTTTATTAATATTATTTATTGTTTGTACATTATTAGATGAGCAGACCACAAAATCTAAGAGTGATTTCTGAACAATGATATTTGGAAGAAACGGGAGGAAGAAAACACCAGTCTGAAGTTCGGAGAAGGGGGGTGGGGGGCACTGTCCCTTCATCCCTCTAGCATCAGTGTGAAGTCAAGAAGCCATTGCAGAGGAGACCAAGAACTCCCTGTTTCATTCATATAACAAATATTTGCTGAGAACCCACTATGTGCCAGCAGCCATTCTATGTGCTGAGAAATCACAGTGACAAAGTTAGAAGTGTCTCTGCATCCCTGAAGCCTAAGTGCAGGGCCTCCCTGAACACAGAAATGCCTCAGCATTTGCTCACAGTGAGGCTAGTCAACAATGCAGGGACAGAGTCATTGGACTCGCCAACAGCAAAGAGGCATGAGTCATTGATAGAGTGACTCTGCTACCACCCCAACCCCAACTGCCACTCTTTAGGCAACCTTGAGACCCTCAACATTCCTTCCTTCATTTTAACTCTTTCCTGCCTGTCTCCCCCTCTCTCAGACCTCCTCATTCCTGCCTGTTTTCCTCTCTCAGACCTCCTCATTCCTGCCTGTTTTCCTCTCTCAGACCTCCTCGTTTTCTTTCATCACCAGTCAACTCTAAAGTGAAGGCTACCAGAAACATCTACTAGATGTTTTCTATCCACCTTGTGGCATCAAGAAAACTGAAACACAGCCTCAACTCATAGCTCAGGCTATAATCTTAGCACTTTGGAGTCTGGGTACAGCAGAAGCCAAGTTCCAGGCCAGCTTGGGCATGGAGCAGGGGAAAGAGTTAAAGAGGGGTGGGGAGAGAAGGGGCAGGAGGCAGAGAGCAGAGGCCAGCCTGGCTAAAACATGGCTGGCCCCTATATGTCTGGTCACAAGTTATTAATAATTTTAGTGGTATTACTTGGCATCCCAGAGCATCCCTATTATCTAAGCCACTCACACACACAGGGCACAGTTCATATGGAACCACAGGGCAGCCTTCCATGGAAAAGAAGTCATATGTCTGTGAAGAAAGCCCAGTACTTACCGAAGCAGAATGGAGTCTTGGGTTTCTGCTTTGGGGTAGCTATGCTGACCTATATAAAGTAAAGGCAAAAGATACATGAATGTCTTTCCAACAGTATAAAAAAAATGTTCACTTAGGAAATATAGCATACATAAAAACAGCATGTCAAATATACATAGGCACATTTCGAAGACTAATAATTGAGAGTCTTGCCTTCCCTTGAGGAACTGGCATTATCAGTCCTACTCCTTAAAACAGTGGTTCCTGACCTTCCTAATGCTGTGACCCTTTAATGCAGTTCCTCAGGTTGTGGTAACAACCCCCACCCCAGCCACACAAGTATTTAATTGCTACTTTGTTGTTGGATTCTCTTGTCCTGCCAGATCCCACCACCCTTCTCAGCCCCAAATAAACACAGAGATGCTATATGAATTATTAAACTGTTGGCCAGTGGCTAGGGCTTCTTATTGGCTAGATCCCTCTTAATTATTAACCTATTTCTATTAATGTATGTGTTTCTGCATGCCCTTACCTTACCAGAGAATGCCTGGCACATCCTGTCTTCCTGGGCTCTACATGGAATTCTCTTTCCTGTGCTTCTCTGCCTACCTTTCCCAGAATTCTCCTTGTCTCCTAGTCCCACCTGTCTTCCTACCTCTACTGGACAAACAGTGTTTTTATTCATCAACCAATAAAAGAAGCATATATACAGAAGGAGATCCCCTATCACTATTTTGCTACTGTTATGAATTCTAATGTAAATATATGATATGCAGGATATCAGATATGTGATTCCTTGACCCACAGGTTGAGAACCCCTACCTCAGAAGCTCATTACAACCCTTCCATGATAGAATCTTTACTGTCCACATAACTGCTACCTTGATGCCTCTATTAATTTTTCTCTCCACAAGAACTCTAAAAGCCACCAGGCTGGGACAAGATTCTCTCTGAGCCACAAGATCTAGCAGAGTCCCATTCATAACCAGCAGGCTCCTACTACGCTTGCAAGAGCTAATGTACTCCCGCCCCAAAGAAGTGGTTGCTGTGGACATACAAACTCCTATCAAAGCGGAGAGGGGTGGGGAGATGGAGATGGAGGGGGAGGGGGTGAGGGTGGCAAGCACTCCTGCATTTAGGTATGTTGTCCAAAGGCCTAGCTATCTCTGCTGGCCATGAACACAGGCAACTCTCCAGCAATCCAGACAGTGGTTGCCAGAATGAGGGAGCTCACCTGGTATTTTCAAGAGCAGGGCCTGGGAAGATAGGAACACTGGCATCCCTTCAGCTAGCTTTTACAATTCCACCTCTAGCAGGGACATTGCTGTGCTGCACAGGAGCCGGCATCACTCAGGCTCACATTCCATCATGGCCTACAGACATTTGGTGATTACCCTAGATGCTGGTCCAGTCACACTGGAACACCTGGCACATCCCACTCACTGGAGATACCTAGTGAGGCAGCACTTACTATGGGGCCATCCTGACCTGGACACTGCTCTCTCAGTCCCCTTTCTAGCCATCCTGATCTTCTTGTTCTCTCAGAACTCTGGGACTTGGAATTAGAAGCAGGAATTAAAGTCTGGCGTTAAAAATGATGTCTCCTTGCTGCTCACATTTGCTAAAAATCTAACATTGATTGACACACCAGTCTCTAGGCTCCTGCTGCTCTTGACCCTAAAGTCTTCCAGAGTCCCACCTTGAATCCTTATCCAAAATTAACATTGCTCCAAATACTCAACCAAGAACTGAGGTGGCGCCCTACAAAATATCAAAAGAATAAATAGCAGAGGCTTCTTTTGGAGTCGGTCTCAAATCACAGGTGTGTGACCTCTGTGACATGGTCTGTCAAGAATCATAAAGTCATGATCCCATGGAGTTAACATGAGCATCAAATATGATAGTATAGGCAAGAATTTCTATGGCTGCAGCATGGCCAGATAGAGCTTGCAAATCAAAGAGGGACTATTATTCCAGGCAAGGGAGGTATACATGCATCTGTAATCCCAGCACATGGGAGGCTGAGACAAAAGGATCTTTACTTACAGGCTATCCTAGGCTACACAGCAAGTTTCAGGCTAGCCTGGGTTACATGGGTGTACCCCATCTTAAAACAAGTCACACACCAACACAGTGTGCACATGTGTACATATACACATCCAGTAATAATGCTGATGATAGGGCCTGAAAAAGCTGCTTACCTTCCAACGTTAAAAAACAAAACAAAAACAAAAAACATGCACAGCCTACATAACATTGCATCATCCTCAATGACAAATATGACAAGTATTTAAAGCATCAAGGTGCCACATGACCCCTGTTTCTGAAGGTGCAAGGATGAAGGACTGCTTGTGCCAATGGCCTTCCTACTAGCAGAGTGCCAAAGCTGCACGGGGCATCACCAGCGAGAGTCAGACACTACGCTGATGAGTGTGTGTTCAGTCCACTGTACTGATGAGGGAACCCTGAGGTGGAGGCCCTGTGGCCTAAGAAAGCCCTGAAGAACACGAAGGGGAACCACAAATCTGAGCTCAGACAGACCACCAGACACAGCCATGTCTGCACACTTCGCAGGTAGCACTCGGGGGCGGGGATGGGGGTGGGGGTGGGTGGGCATCAACCCTGGCCCCCAGTGGCCTTGTTCTCCTGAGGTTCAGTCCAAGCCAGTTGCTGAACTTTGAGCCACTCACTTCCTAGCTGTAGCCTTCAGCATCTGTGTCCCCAGGCTATCATCTGTGCTGGGTCCCTGCACTAACTCCCAGTGTCACACAGCTGCCTGTGTTCTGTCCCCTTAGCACCCACCTGCCTCCCAGCTCCCTTCTCATCCAGCTGGCAATTTGGGTGGCATTGAAAAGCTTGGTCCCAGAGGTCCTCTCTCCTCATATTTATCACCGACTAGACAGAGTGCCACTGACTGACCCTTTCACCCTACATGGATTACAAATGACCACGCTCACTGCACTAATTAGTCAGCCTGGGAAAATGCTGCCCATGCAGTTATCGTGAGAACCAAAGCTTCCAAAGGCAATGCATGGCTTTCTGCTTGTCCTTCTCTGCGTACGCACTTGATACCAGGAAGTCCACGTGCATGCTCACTGACAGTGTACCTCAAACTCATGAAGCCTTGGTGGGCAAAGTAATGCATTGACAAATTACCAGAGTTGATCCCAGTTCTGTCCTGAATGGCCATGGAACAGGGGTGATAGCCTCCACAGACCAGCTACTCCCTTAGTAATGCCAGTGTGGAAAGGTAAACACTCTTCTCACAGACACATGACAGCAGGGACAGAAAATGAATGTGTCTACCTGTGGCTATGTCCACAGAGAAGGGCTGCTCAGAACGCTGACTTTGGCCTCGCTCCCTGACAGTCTGTCCCCAGAGGTATGAACCGCCCCAATCCACCTGCCACCTGTTGGTGGACTGTGCCAGGCTGTAGCAGCCATCTTCAAACACAGGAAGAGAACAGAGGACCCACAGGAAGCAGTGCGGCCACAGGTGGGTGAGGACATCCAACAGTCTGACTCAAGTGAGAGCGCCCAGGCGCAAACATCCTCACACCACACAGTGGCCACAATTGAGTCACTGCCCAACAGTGGTTTACTGGCAGGCTCTGCGAGCAGGCCAACAGCCAGAGAGGGTTGTGATGTGAACAGAGTGTCCATGGGGCCCCCACGAGTGACGCAGAACAGTCTCAGGAGCTTTTGCTTATCAGATCAAACACAGACCTCAGAGGGCCAGCCACACCCTGCTGCCATTAACCGGAAGTGGAGCTAGGGCCCCTCCAGCGGAAGGAACAAGAGCAGAATAAAGCTTGGAGAACTCGAAACATTGCTCCTGTGTCTGGGGAGACTTGTCCCTCAAGGGGGCACTAAGAGCAGTTAAGTGAGAAGCCACTGACGCAGCGTACTTAACTGGAAAATGAGTGAGTCAATGCTCTTCACTGAACTCTATTACAAGGGTTCTCACCCTTCCTAATGCTGTGGCCCTTTAATACAGTTCCTCATGGTGTGGTGAACCCCCCAACACCATAAAAGTATGTTAGTTGCTACTTCATAACTGTAATTTTGCTAGTTATGAATCATAATGTAAACATCTGTATTTTCTGATGGCTTTAGGTGAACCCTGAAAAAGGGTAGTTTGCCCTCCCCTCCCCCTCGCCAAAGAGGTTGCAACCCACAGGTTGAGAATCACTGTTCTATCGTATCCAGGGCCCTCACCCCCAACCCCACACAAACAGTTAATAACCCGCATTTCAGGAAGACCTGTTATCTATCAGAAGCCCTCACAAAATAGGTCCAGCCTGGGCAGAATTGGGGGCTGGCAGTATGATGACATCTGTTTGGGAGAGAAGAGTTAGAAAGCAAAGGTAGCAGTGTAGGCCAGGTTCAGTTATTTTCTCGTTTGCTCAAATACTGGTTCTGCTGCCATATGCCCCAGAAACAGACACCTCCATCTCTGGGTTGCCTCTCTGGAGGACCCCTCCCCAAACCCACCACACCACCAGTTGCCATCTTCCCCCACACTAGCCTCCAGGAGATCATGGGACAAAGCACTATGCAAATGCTTAACCCTGGGAGTGACCTAAGGCTAACAAAAAAATGAGAACTCAGGAACCCAGCACCACCAGAACCTGGCAGCTAGCCGGTCAGCTGGAGCAAAGGCACTCACTCAGCGATCTGTAACCTAACCGGCTGGTCCTTGAGGATTTTTCAAAGACCCTGCAAGGCTTGCCTGCCTCAGGAAGAGCCAAAAGTCAGGTCACCCCTGCCAACGAGGCAGAGGGACACAGAAAGCCTCATCTGGGCTGCATTTATAAATCATGATTCAGCGGGAGATTATATTCACTCTTCCCTGGCCAAAAAAAAAAAAATCTTCCCAAACCCTCACACTGCAGAGATGGTTTCAGTTTTCATTTTTGACAGGGCTCTCGGCTCCCCCCCTCTCAATTCTCTTTCTGGAGAAATGACCTAATGAGCTCACAGCAGATGAGAAGAAAGGGCCCCTGGGAGAGGAGGGGGAGGGGAGGAAGGGAGGGCTGGGCTGCCCTGGCCTGGGGAGGCTGCCACAGTTCTTATCAAAAGGCATGCACAAATTGCCGGCAGCTGTGTTAGCAAAGCTGCACTTTAACCATGCTCTTCCCCTGAGGCCATTATCTCCTCTCTAATCGCTTCAGCCACTGCCCAGCATCTTCTTCACTGAGATGTATCTGCCAGGTTCTGTCTGCAGCTGGCAGGCACGACCCAAGCCTGCCTGCTGGTCCAGCCAAAGACAGCCACTCCTCTCAGGACATCTCTTGACCCATCTCTTTTAAGCATCTCCCGTGGGAGCTTCACCCAGATCTCCTTAAATCTATTGCCAGATGGAGCTGGTAGCTTCTTCGCTCAACCCGAGCCCCTAGGTCCTCAGTCCCTAAGATCCTACGGTGGGAGAGGCCAGAAAAGAAAGCAGCAACTCTTATGAGAAAGAACTGGAGTGAGGGACGGAACTTATGCAGCCCTGGAGCTGGCTGGGTGCCACCTGGCTCTCCACTCCTGCTTTTAGGAGAGAATCTAAATCCCTGGCTTTTTTTTTTTTTTAATAAGGGCGCATCATGGGTCAGCAGCAGTGGCTGCCCCAGGGAGGAGCTGCTAAAAGCAGCTGAATTCAGCAGATCTTTGTGGTCACCACTGACTGGCCCTATCCCCATCTCAGAGAAGATCAGGAGTTGCTCTTGCCCCTGTATGCATGCTGGATGAGGCACAGACTGCCAGCTGCCTGCCACGATCCCTAGAAGGCACCAGATGTTGAATGTGGTCCTGGACTGTCTTAGGGCCTTCTGGGGCAGGGGTGTTCTCAACCCTCCCCCCACAAGCATTCAGGCTGGAAAACTGGTAAAATTCCATGGGGCCTGAGGCATTTCCAATCCACTGCTCAGTAACAGTACACTTTGAGGGAATCTTTCATTGGATCAGGGTCGTTGTCCCTGTGACCTTTTGTCCCAGTTACCAAAAAAAAAAAAAAGATAACACCCTCCATAGTGCTTTATTTTGGATATAAAATGCCTCCCAAAGGCCAGTGGTAACATCTGGAACTTTGAGAAGGTGGGGGCACATGGGAGGTCTTTAAGTGACTAGGGGTACCCTCAGGAGAGATTATAGGTGCCCAGGCCCTCTGTAATTTGCTCCCTAGCCATGAGGTAAGAAGCTGGGCCCCATTTTGCCATAATCTACTGCTTCACATGAACCCCATAATCATGACTAAGACCTGGAGCACAGTGACCCAAAGTAAACTGTCTCTTTATAGACTATCTCAAATATTCTTATAGACCTGGAGACATGACTAACTGGCACATTCAAAGAGTGGGCCACCCTCCCCAGTGCCAAATGCCACCACAAGACAGCATGGCAATGCCTGGGAAGGGGAAACAAGGTAATGGCAGTGAATGCCCCCAAGGCTCACAGCTCCAGGATACAGAACCTCCCTCTTGCTTAGACATCAAACCTCCTTCAAGACCATGGATTCCCAGGAGGCCGAAACAACCTTACCTTTGAGATGTAAGTCAGCTGCAGAGATCCAACAGCTCCTGCCCCAACTGCCAGGTTCTGAAAGACAACAGTGTTTTCTTAAGATTCCAGAGTCCCCAAAGCAAGCAGTAAGAGATAAACCTGTGTCCTAGTTCAGTCTAGAATACTGCGGCCTCAGATCAGTCACTGTCCTCACCTACAAGGCACTGGTAATAATTCCTGGATAAAGGTTTCCTGGGGCACCCCGCTGTGACGAGTTAGTCTGGGGCAATGGTTAGACTTGTATGCTTTGCCGTGTTACTGTGAAGTTCTTAGCTAGCCCTCGGTTTTCCCTGCTGTAAAAACAGAAGCAACTTCTTAAAAGACCCCTAACAGGGGCTGTTGTCAACTCTTTTACTGACTTTTGGGATCCCACTTCTCTTACTGGGTGACCTGACCAGCCTTTATATAAAGGGAGGTGCTTAGTCTTGCTGCAACTTGATATGCCAAGTTTTATTGAAACTCATAGCAGACCACAGAAATGGTAGAGGAGGGGATTAGGGGGTGGGAAGGGACAATGTGGGGAGAGGGGCTGAGAGGGGAGGATGAGGCGAGGCTTCTGCAGGGATGTATAATAAGTAGATGAAGTTTAAAAATAATAAAAAAATTAAATTTCAAAATAAATAAAAATAGGTCAATTTGGATTAAAAAACAAAAACAAACAAACAAAAAACCGCAGGCAATCTGAACTGTCTTTATCTAAATCAGATTTCAGGGTTTCTTTTTTTCTAATTTTCTTTTTTGGGGGGTTGAGAGTTAGTAGAATGATATTGTGATCCTCTTGCCTCCACTTCCTGGGGGATGAGATTACAAGTATGTGTCATTACAACCCGGAGCTTTAAAAAAAATATTTACATCAGGTGGTGTGGTGATGGCACACACCTCTGACCCCAACACTTGGGAGGCAGAGGCAGTTGGATCTCTGTGAGTTTTAGGTCAGTCTGGTCTACAGAGTGAGTTCCAGGACAGCCAGGGCTCACAGAGAAACCCTGTCTTGAAAAACCACAAAAAAAAAAACAAAAAAAAACCAAATAAACAACAACAACAACAAAACACACACACACACACACACACACACACATACACATTAAAAAATGAGAAGTCCTAAGGACTGAACCCAAGTCAAAACACAAAATTCCATTTGTGCTTCATATACCCATTATACAGATTTCCTGGAGACTAATTTTAGACAGTGCTTTTAGCAACCGCGTGTTCTGACGACAACATACCACATGAGGCTAGGTGTAGGATTTTCCACTTGTTATCATATCAACATTCAGAAAGTTGCAGATTTGAGATAATTTCATATTTTTACATTAGGAATATTCTACCTATAACCCCACCCTCATAATACAGTGATGTGGTGTTAACACAGGGGAAGTGTTCCAGTGTGGAATTTCCCTGGCACACAGAGATGCTCTGCAAGTGTGACCTTTAACATCTTTTCTGCATGATTGCTCTGATTTGGCTTGCTTTGTCTTATTTTTGTCATTTCAACATTCATTTCATAACATATAGGATACAAACTCATGATACAGATTTTTAACATGTCTGTGAACTTACTATAATACATGCCAAATGAAACTGATGTCTGAACACAAAACTAAAAACCAGTAAGAAAACATACTACTAATACAACAGTGCAATGGGAATGCTTGCTTAGCATGTACAATAGTCTGGGTTCCATGCCAGAACCAGAAAACACAATACAGAAACAAATTCAAACCAAAACAAGAAAAAAAAAAAAAAATCAGGGAGCTCCAAATATTGGGCCAGCAATATTCTACATGACAGACCATTCCTGGCTTCCTGATTTCTGTTGAGAGAGGATATGAGGTAGTGACCAATATTAGAAATCATACCAAGAAAGTTCCCGATAGATGGACTGAAAGCCCATTCCCTTATAACCTGAGTCTGTCTGAGAACCCACCCCCATAGCCAGAGAGTCCACAACTGCCTATAACTCCAATTCCAGAGGATCCAATGTCCTCTTACCAAGGCACCAAATATACATGGCTCACAGATACACATGCAGACAAAACACCATATATATAAGATATAATAACATATTTAATTAAAAGAAATTAAAAAAAGAATTATCTTAGATTTCAGAAGAGCCTTCTAGCCTATTGTCTAAATTAACATATATCTCTGAAGTAAATTCATTGTGTCAAATTTCCTGTTTATAAGAAAATTGATAGGGGGCCAGTCAGTGGTAGTGCATGCCTTTAATTCCAGCACTTGGGAGGCAAAGGCAGGTGGATCTCTGTGAGTTTAAGGCCAGCCTTGTCTACAGAGTGAGTTCCAGGACAGCCGGTTCTGTTACACAGAGAAACCCTGTCTTGAAAAAAAAAAAAACAAAAAAAAAAAACAAAAAAAAAAAAAAAAAAAAACTGAAGAAAAAGAAAATGGACAGGAATAACACAGTCATACAGCCATTTAAGGGAACTCTGAACCTCGGTGGCAAAAAGACTCCATTACCACCTTTACACATGAAACACTAACCCTGAAGAATGCCTTTTCAGGAGTGAGAGTATAGTTCAGTGGCACAGCACTTTCCAGGAGTGTCTGAGGCCTTGGATATCACCCCACGTTCTGTAAAAAATAAATACATAAAAACCACCATCCTGGAGTGCTCAGATCAGCATTCATCTTATTTGTGTGTTTTTAACATCATTATAATTTATATCTTTTTAAAGGAAATCTCCATTGTTTTAAGAAAGACAGGCTCTGCCATTCCCAAATCAACATCCAAATGGAGAGCCACCACTATGGGAGGATAAGGAGAGATGACCCAAGGGGCCCTGAATTACTCTAGGGAAGACTCAATCTGCTGGGGGCAGAAGCAAGCCTGTGTGCCCCCACAGCCTCACTGTGGCCAAGAACGCCAGAGGCTTCCGGGTCTCCTGGAAGCCATTGCATTCTAATTGTAGTATTAGCACTCTCTGATTGCAGACAAGACTTTCCCTAGAAAATACAGATGACAAACTGTGCCAGACGGTGGCTGGGAGAATGATGAAAGCAGGGTGAGCATAGCACAGAAAGGCCATGAATCCCCTCAACCAAGCTAATTACAAGATGCAAACACCAGGATCCAGGGCTACTCCTAAATGACTGCTCTTCTCACCCCAAACCACATCTCGAAGCCTCTGGAGCCCCATTCTGATTCATGAGTTAAGTGGAATGGGGGAACAACTTAGACTCTAAGCCACATGTAATGACAGGGGAGGATGAGATTTCAAGGATGTCAGCCTTCTGCTCCAGCCTCTAGTGCCTCCTCCCCCTCACAGAGATGCTGCCCAGTTAGCCTCAGGGTGAGGTTGGGGGAAGCTCATGTATACTCTACCCTTTCTGCTCTGGGGCGAAGATAAATGCTCTCTCCATCCCAAGAAGCCAGAAAAACATGACAAATGTCTGAAAAGTTGTTTGCCCACCACCTCCTACCCTACCAAGCAGGAAAAGTGTCTCTAGGATGCCCACAGCTTCATCCAAAGTGAGGCTCCGTCCACTCCAATTAACTGCATCTAGAAGCTTAATGGAAACAACTCATTGTCATGGTGGCACCCAGACAGTATCAGGCAGACACTTCCTGATCAAGGGAGGTCGCACAAAAAGGCCTAAGTGCAGGGGAGAACCCCTGTGTTGTGTTGTGAAGTGGAAGGATACTTTCAGGACCTTCCAGAAGTCTTCACTGACTCCAGCCAGCTACAAGTTCCTGTCTCTCAACTCACAAACCAATCCTGGATTTTAGTGCAGACTCAAAGTCCTGAGCCTGCACACTTGAGAAAGTTCTGTCTCTGGCTTCATCCTCAAAATCAAGTCTAAATCAAGTGGGAGGGGTTAGAAGGCAAACATTTCAAATCTCTACATGTAATCCCTAAATGGATCCAAGCTTAAGAGCAGCTGATCAATGGGATGAAACCTAGCTGTATTGCTATTTTCCCATAAGTCTAGTCTTTTCTTAGTACTTTAACTACACTGTAAGCTTAACTGCGGACATGACAGGGAACACCAAGATGAAGGCATCTTGTGCTACTAGATGTCTGTAAATCTCAGCACTCAGGAGGAAAGACAGAGGCAGGATGCCACCATCTGAACAGATGTGGCCTCAACATAGGAAGGTTTGTAAAATGGACTTTATTTATTTATTTTTTGGGGTCTTAGGAGTTGAACCTAGTTCCTTCATAAATGCCTGGCATATAATTTAACTCTGAGACATATGGTTACCCACCCCCCACTTTTAGGGGGGTTATATGTTTTTTTTAAACTGGCACATAATAATCCTATATCTTGGGGTACAGTATGACAATTCAATACATGTATTGAATTTCAATGATCAGATCAAGGTGTCTGTTTGTGGCAGTTGGAATGAGAATGGCTGCCATAGATTCTTATGTTTGAATACTTGGTACCCAGTTGGTGCAACTATTTGTGGAAGATTTGGTGTGGCCTTGTTGGAGGAGGTGTGTCATTGTGGGTGAGCTTTGAAGTTTCAAAAACTTACACTGTTCTCAGTGAGTCTCTCTGAGATTTTTGGATCAAGATATGAGCTCTCAGCTGTTTCTGTGGCTGAGCTGTTCATTCTCCATCATTGGCTCTACCTCTCTGAAACTGGAAGTCCAATTAGACACTTTCTTTTCTTAGTTGCCTTGTTCATGGTGTTTTATCACAGCAACCGGAAGTAACTAAGACACTGGTATATCTGTCCTTTGGGGCATTTTTCATTTCCCTGTGATGCAAACATACAAAATTCTCTCCACCAGCTATTTTGAAATACACAACTAGTTTCCATACTTGCCCTAATATGCTATGGAACTTGAGGCTCCTTCCTTCCTACCTACTTTCCTTCCTTGCTTGCTTATTTCCTTCCTTCTGTAAGGTCTCACTGTATTGCTTAAGCTGACTTATTAGGGGGTAAATTTTTAAAATTACATTTATTTAGTATGTGTGTGTGTGTCTATGTGTATACATGCCATAGTACATGTGTTATGGTTGGAGAACAATTTGTAGGGCTTTCTTTCCTCATTCTATCATCTTGC